ACTATTTTATATTTTTTATTTCTCATAATATTGATAAAAATAACAATTATGTAATCAAGACCATGCAAAGAATTTATTATATGAAGGTGATTTGAATAGCGGTAGAACTCAATAGTTTACTCATTTTGGGACATTGAGACCTGAAGTTAAAAGGTTATGGAAAAATCGAGGATGGAATTAGAAGTGTCTGAGTTGGAATTTATCGGGATGGGATTTTTCCTTTCTTATAAGTTGTTTATCACATTGTCTGAAGTTAAGTTGAATTTTAATGTGCTTTAATGAATTACTTGCTTCGTCTTCTGAGATCTTTGATTAGGTTCGCCTGACCCTTTGCGGGTTCTCTTCGAACTGTGGACTTCTGGTGGGTTGTTGTTTGAGGCATTTGGCTCCTCTCTCCCCGTACGGGAACGGGATCGGGAGTCTGGGTTTTATGTTCATGGAGAAAAGGGTTGTTTTATTATAGTTTAGGATGAGGAGGGACAGGGGTGGGAGGAGATGGAGTGGGGTAAGAGGGAGGAGTTGCGCGAGAGGGTGGCGAAAGAAGGCGGTGGAGATTTTGTCGACGGCGTCTTCAGCTGTGTCAGTAAAGTTTAGTTTGTTGTCAGTTGTCTTTGCCCTATGGCTTAGGTGATAGGAGGGGGAAGTTGGAGGATGTCTAAGGGATGCTTTTTCTGAGTGTGTCGGAGTGTGTTTCTGAAGGTATGGTGGTGAGGGAGAATTAAGTCTCGGAATAGAGGGTTGTTGATATATTTTTTTTAATTTTGGCTATTGTGAAGTTGTGGAGGTATTTGAGGATGTGGGGTATTTTGTTTTGGGATCGTATGCAGTTGTGGATGCTATACATGGGTGAGCGGAAGATGAGGCGGATGCTGTAGTTTTCGACGCGGCTTAATTTTGTGCTGTTAGTGTGGGATGTAGCGAACCATGTGAGATAGGGCATATGATAGGACAGGACGAATATAGAAGTTGTAGGTGTGAATTTTTCTCTTGGTGGCTATGGAAGGGGGTTGGTGAGGATGGGGTATAAAGTATTGATGATCGTGGTTTCTTTGACGATATTTTGTGGATGTGATGGGACCAAACGAGTGTGCGGGAGAAAGTTAGGCGTTGGTAGGATATTTCTGGTGTCCAGGTGCTTGCTTAGTGCATTTCGTTGGATGAAAATGAGATACACAATTATAAAAGAATGGAAGAGTGGCGTTTCAACTGTGCCTTTAATCCAACTCGCATTCAGAAATCAGGAAAAAAACATGCACTATATTGCCATTGACGCGCCCAGAATCACTAACCAATCCAAAACAAAAGGTAACATGAAATTAGAATCTCACTCGTCATCCATGCATTTTTGTTAAACTCATAGTCAACTTCTTAATATTTTACTAATGTGAATCATCTTGGCTGCCTATTTTTCCAATGGCAAGTTTTAAGTTTTTGCGTTCCGGACGTATTGGCACAAACAACAACAGTTTTTATTTCCTTGTTGTTTTACGTTCCAAAGCATTCATTATTTTGAAAGTTCACGTCATATTAGGTAAAAACTTCAAACTAATGATGCTACAACCTTCAACTTTCTCGCACTTAGTAATGCTTACGTAATACTATTTATACCACAATTTCTCTCCAAATTAACACATCTCAGTAATCATTTTTTGAAAAATCCAAATTTTCGAAAAATTGTGCATGACCTTATATCAAAATTTATCCTTAAAGAACATATTTCGTTAAGGGGGAAAATCCCTAATTTAATATTTTAGTTGTAGGAAGACGACGAAAAAATTTTGAACTTTTGCAAGTTTCGAAAAATCAGGATTTTTAACGAACATGAAACCTGCACCATTATCTTGAACATCCTTTAGACTAGCCAAACGGAGTATAATAAAAAAAAACCTTTGTAGCTCTTTTTTTAACTTTGAAAATGTTCCAGGGGCAAAGTTTAAAGTATCCCCAAAAATTAAAATTTCGGTTTAAAAATCAAGTAGCCGCGAAACCAGTCGGATCGATGGAGGAATGTGAATCTTGGAGAAAATCTGAACGGTTTAACCTCAAGCGTTGTTCACAGATGGACGGACGGACGTTCTGCCGACAACCGATTTTTCGGTATCAAGGATCCACAAAATATAGATTCTGGCTACATCACGAGGTAGAGGATTTTTGCTAAATTTAGCAACCGGATGTATCCCCTTTTTCGTCACTAGAGCCCTGTAATAAGAGTTTTTTTGCCGAAAATTCCCCTTTTTTCGCGCAGAATTACATAACTTTGTCTTTACTGCGTAAGGGTAGCAAGAAAATAAAAATAGTCCTGTTTCATCCATGATTAAAATATTATCTGGATCATATTCTTCCAAAACTGTACTCAAAACTCCTAGTTTCCGACATTCTTCTACAGATACATTCGTACTTTCTCGAGAAATAACCATTTCACTGATACCATGACGTTTTAAAACTTATTTAAGAACATCCAGAACATGCCTGAAACTCTTCATGCCCCAAACATCGAGCATACTCCGTGTTTTTTCTTTTATACGAGGCCCTGAAACGGACCCTTTTTTATCCCTGATCAACTTTACCCACTTTAAAACAGCTTCATCCACACCTTCGTATCGACTCAATTTATTCCTTTTCCGATCTCCTTCTCAAGCTTCACGATTTTTGAAAATTTGTTCGCTGTTTTTCATTGTACTCGAAACTGTACCAGCTGGTATTCAGTACTTCTGCCCTTTTCTCCCCTCCATACCATTGTCCACTTCCTTGATCAATTTCATTTTTCCTGCAATATTAAGGGATTTTCGTTTCGACATTTCGAACACCCGTAACAGCAAACTGAAAAAGTGCTGAACTGACGAACTAACACCGTAGGGCAGGACCACGCGATAGCGGAAGAGGATTTGCCTTTGACATTCCCACCACGATTCGCAAAATCCCACGGAGAGAGAAAGCAGTAGAGTTTCCTTAATGAGAGAGCAGGGGACTGGGCGTAGGCCACGCTTAGGTGTGTTATAAATATTTATTCAGTTACACAAACGTTGAAAAGAAAGTTCTATTTTCGGAAGTAGTAATCTTCAAAATTAAACTAACTATTTTTTAAAAAAACATAATTTTGTAGTATGTGCTGTACATTTTTATTTCATTGAAAAAAGTCAAGTCAGAAAATGAGTTCGATGTATGGAAATAATTTTCGATGAATAGAAACGAGTTTAAGGGACCTCTTTCCACCATGACCTTAATATAAAAGAACAAACATCGAACACAAGTAATTATAGCAATGCTCCTGTAGTGAAGCTTGGTGAGATTCATAATGCAACGGACACATACAATCATGATGCACCTAAATGTACGTCGTGGAAACAGATTCGTGACGTTTATTTGGCGTACGTTAATAGACATTAAGGCACATTACAGAGATCTTCAGAATGACGTCACAACGTTTGGCGGTAATGTTTTGGTTGGCAAGCTCTGGCGTGCGCGTGTCCTAGAAAATTAGTAAGATTTTGACTGTCGGTTGCCGAGGTTTGTGTTTCTTATCACAGTTGTTATTTACAGTGATTTTTCTATCTTTTGGTTTGTATAAGTCCTGGCTGCAAATATCGTTTACAAAATTGATTTAAAGAGCACTATTCTATCAGATATGTCGTCACTACCTTTTCATTTCGAAAATGGTTGGAAGACAATATCATGGCCCTTGCGATGATGCTAAGGTGATACTTTATAATAAAATGAAATATTAGGATCCATGTGCCCTTTCATCGGTTATGATAAGTGCTAACGAATTTCAGACCTCGTCCGTAATGATCGTTGGGAAGAATATCGAGAATGTTCAAAAAGACAGTCCCAAAAATGTTCGTAATTTTTCACGGAATAAAGGAACTTTCAACACTAAGTTAACCATAATTTTATATAATATAAAGTTTTTTTCAATGTAATAATTATATAAAAATAAAGTTATTTAAAAATATAAATATTATATTTTTGTCATCAGAATTTTCAAAAATAATTGCATTTTCCTGCGCTGAGTTCGAATTTTGATGATTAAATTTCAATATTCATATAAAATAATATTTGTTATGCCTAATGATTTTAATGTTTTTATCAAACGTATTTTCAATATATTTTGCGTGCTAAGTTTTAAGTATTTGCCAGTTCTTGCGATACAATTGGGACATATGACTTTATAACCTTGGTGCCAGAAGTAAAGAGTTCATTTGGTAAGGTACGTAATATTTGGGCTTCGCTTTTACATAAACAAAGTCGAAGATATACAAAATGTTAGTGGGTCGTACATATTATGATGCTGTGTTTTATTCAACACGTATATGCAATGAATGTAAATGGCAACTTATTTATTGTGAGAACTGTCCTTTTTAGTGGGTTAATTATATAACTGAAAAATGTGGAAAATCTATATACGTTTGCAGGTGAAAATTAGAGAATGACAGTGAAATGTTTCTATGTTTCCACACTGAACTGCGAATTATGAAGGTGGATATTACCTGTGGCCACTGGATATATACTCGTATTATTATAAGTGGCCACTATTGATATTAAACTACCATCATACTTTTCTTGCTTCAAAGCAGATATCCACTTTTATTCTTTTTGTTGAGGTTGCTATAATTTTACTTTCCTGATTTCTGGGAATAGTAGGGAATCTGAAAAATGCTTACTCTGTCTCTCCGGTTCCCTTTCGCCCCTGTCCATTGTTGTTCAGAACTTGGTTGTCGTAAAAATACAACTTTATTTTAAAGAAAAAAGAACATCTCACAGCGAGAAAGTGTACCTGTATAAAACAAACACTTTTTAAACCATCATAGGCAAAAGAAAAACCTTGAACAAAGAACGATACCGATGTACTAAAACAAAATCGACACATACCGCATTCTAACCATTAGCTCGCGGCATCCAGCATCCGAAGCCTGCCACCCAGAGGCGACGGTGCTGCCCTCCGACGCTCTAAAAGTTACGTGTTCTGGATATCTCTATTGCCCTGCATTGCCCTGTCCATGATGTAAGAAACATCATGGCGCGGTCCAATGTCAGCTGTTTCCGACCAATGCTGCCATCTATTGCTTGACGTTTTGCCGTGTATTATTGTATGACCAGTTGCCAACTCACCTGTAACGATGCATGTTGGGAAAGATAATGTTAACGTGATTTACTGAAGTATGTTTGCATCAAAAAAAATTAATTAATGTCTTGTTTATTGACATTTTACTCATTCTTCACGATGCGTGTCAGTGGCTGCGAAAATTAGTGTAAACAAACAGAAAATGGCGTGTGTCGGAGGAACCACTGGTAATGATGCGGCACAGAAATTTTTAGATTCCTTACAAAATGATTTAAAAAATTTATCCGCCGAAACAAAAAAGAAGTTTCCACAAATAAAAGAAGTAAGCATTTACAATTATTGTATGCTTCAAATTAATTTCATGTATGAGGTTAAGTGGTGCTATTTGTATCTGTCATTACAGTCAAAGAATTAAAAATATTCTATATTTTCTGCTAAATATGCTTTGTTGTCACATTATTCATCAACTCTTTTTGATTTACATAAAACACAAATTATGTTACAGAATTATTTCAGTAATGCCCTTATTTTTTTTTATGAATCTGTCTTGTTTTGCTTGTTATGTGCTATTTTACACTGCGAGTAGTATGGTTGACAGCAACTATCTATCATAAACATTATTGTTTTATGTATTTATAACATGCTAAGCGGCAATATCTTTTAACTCATTTTATTTGTGTTAGTCTTAGAAATAGTCGTCATTGTAATTCAAAAATACCGTTTGTCTATGTTCCTTAAAAAAATGCTATGCTGATGGGCATATCCTAACAGTGATGTGTTTGGACTACTAATAAGCTGTATAAGTAGCTTTACTCATATGATCTGTAAATTTGTTTGTTGACGTATTCATTTTGTATTGGCAGTCAAATATTTAATATATATGGTGCTTTTAAAATCATTATTAATCATAGATTAATGGTAGATAAATTATTCTTGATTGACAAGTGAATTTTGAATCTTCTTGTAGTGGTCTATTTTGTTGTGGTTGTAATTGGTTTCCTTTTAAATCAGTTATGGACTTTATTTTGTTGTATGCAGGCACATGATAATGTATATGACACTTTATTTTGTTTATTTCCCAATGATTTAAGAAAAAAAAAGTTTTTCAATAAATTTTGAAAGATCATAACGTGAATTCATTTTATCAAATAATCAGTTTTTTTTATAAAGTTTGTTGGCCTGTTGCTGTTGTAATTTGACAGTTATGAGATAGTGCTCAAGAAATGTTTTAGCCCATTTCTTGATTACGCAAAGGACGAGTAAATTCACTATCCTTTTTCTTTTAATTGTTACAATATACAATCATCTTATGCATTATTTTCTTGCAGTCATGCGAGGAGGGAATCGTTAAACTTCGTAATGCTGCCGCAAATCCACAGACTCCAGTTTATTATATTGTTAACCAAATATTATACCCTTTAGTACAAGGATGTGAAACAAGGGACCATAAAATAGTTAAGGTAAATAGATTTACAAAGATTTTTTTTCCTTATGCACTGGTGTGGCAATTAGATTCTACCCAATCTTTTTGAAACAATAATTATGTCTTTATGCAATAATGTGTATACAATGCTAATGTCAAAATATAAAAATTGTTAAAATTGTTTAGGAAACCAACCCTAAACACAAATTGAAAAATGTTGAGAGCATATTTTTAGAATATTGGAAAGAAAATTTTGAAAATTCTCCTATGATTCTATTTTTTTTTTGACATTGCTCTCTATAGACATTGCTTGTTCTTCAAGGACTGTCTATATAATGCAAAGTTTATGAAGTTTCTATAAGACCAAATATTTTGCACTTTCATTCACTTTGCCTGGCCAATTTGGGTGCCAATTATATTCACAATTGTGTTGTTGTTTACAGTGTTTTTCTATAAATAATCTAATCTATAGTTTGTACCTGAAATTGATGTGTATATGTATGTATATGTAATAAATAGTAAGTCTTCGAAACGTAGTGATTTTCTAAGGGTCCGTTCATAAATTACATTTCGCAAATTTGGAGTATTTTCAATACCCCCTCTCCCCCTGTAATGCACCTGTAACACACGCTTGAACCCCCATTAAATAATTATGTAACACTGGTGACACCCCCCATTGTAAATGCAAGAATGGAAATAAATAAAATTACAATAATGAGTAGAAATTGGTTGGCAATGCTGGCTGCACCTAACAGTGAGTTTGGGGCAAGTTGTGAGTGAATGAAGAACGCATGGGCGAGAAAATGTTTGGTCACAAGCCGTGCACACGCCGTCGCTGATGTCACTTGGGTCTAATGGGCCAATTTAAATAGATTATAGAATATACTAGTACTATATATAAGTTTTTTGTACCTATATATTTTCTTCGTTATCTTGCATACTCAATAAAATATTGTAAAAGAATATTTCCATTTATTATAACAATTTATGTCAAATATGATTTATTTATGTTTTTAAAACAAATTAATTAGTTAATATTGTAGTGTTTCTCTACACGACCCAAAAAAGGAAATTTTTAGGAAATGTTTAAAAATATAAAAAAATAAATGCCAATGTTATGTAACATTTAAATATTACCCCTACCCCTATGTAACACAGCGTAACGCTGCCTCAGTATCCCTATTTAGCATTACGTAATTTATGGACGACCCCTAATGATCCTTGATATAATTTGAAGTCACTGATGTGATTTTCCCTTTTCTTCAAAGATGTGTGTGTGTGTGTGTGTGTTTAGTTGCCTTTCCCACTAATAACAGTTTCTCTTGATATTCTCCCAAACCACGTGATCATGCAGGCGTATGTTGGTTTTGATTGTATTTGAATCATTTGTTGTTTGCTGGCTGAAAGACTAAAACACTTTATCTAAATATACCATTGTTAAACATTAATATGGTCCTATATTTTTTCTGGCCTTTACTTAGCATCAGTTATTTACTTGTGTATTGATTTATTTATCTAATTTTAATTTATTCTTGAAGGGAGTGATCACTTCAATATTGATTCTAGTTTTAATTAGGTTTTTGCAAGGAGTTTTAAGTTCTTTTCTACACTTTCCTAAATTTACCATAAAGCCTATGTCATCAAAGTGTGTCAATAAAAAGGGAAAAATATATTAAGGCATCTGTCTAGTATTTTATTTTTTTCCAATAACAACTGTGTAGTTCTTGATATAAAATCATTCTCTGACTGAAAGAGGTTAGGCCTTGATTACTTACGAAGAGGGTGAGTAGGATTCTGCAATGTGTACTAGAATTGAATTCAGTCATTAATTCATCTGAAAAGACTTCTTCTTCACTTGTAAATAAACTAACCAGCCAGTTGGTTATCACTTACATGACAACATTTTGAGTTTTTTACTGTGTATAGTACTCTTATTTTCTATGCAGCTATATTGATTTTTTGTTAATGATTTTTTCATTTTGGTTAAAAATGATTTTATTTTCTAGTGGATATTATTTGGCACATCTCAATTTCTTTGATCCACCAAGAACTTCAGATAATTCCTATTTCATCTCTTATTTTAATGCCTATTTTCATGAGAGATTTAGTGTATTTTATTTAATTTGGTCTATATTGTATTTTCATTCTCAAGGGATGTCGTTATAACTATTCTGGTCTTCTGACTTTCCAGATATGTCTTGGAATGATGCAACGACTTATTACTCAGCAGGCTGTTGATCAGAAAGGAGCACGATACATTACAGACACACTGTGGATGCTTATGGAATCAGGAACTGAGGAAGTAAAAGTGTTGCAGAGCGTGACATTGCTACTTACAACAAATGCAGTTGTTCATGGGGATACTCTAGCAAGAGTAAGTGTAGATTCCAATAATTCCAATTTCATTAATACCAATTGAATAAGGTCTAGACTTTGGGGCATTTAATGCCTTTCTGCAGGGTGAAATGTGATATCTAATCCTTTACTTGTACTATGTATATTGTACACTGTGATCAGAATTCACTTTCCAGCTGGAAGGTAGAACATTACTCTGTATTATCTTAATTTTGTTTCATTGCAGTGAACAGGCAATGAACAACTGATAATATTTATCTTGCATTTTAGTTGCAAAAACAAAAATTAACATACACTAAGCCAATTTGAGAGGAAGCAAATATAAGAATGTGTAGCAGAACTGTAATATATGTAATAAACAGTTGTAAAAATAAATGTATTAGAGAAGACCTTGACTTCACTCCAAGTTCATTGCTTGTTCCAGTGTCAAGAATTCCATTTTTTAATGGTATCCCTGGGTCTCTTCTACGTGCGAGTCTATACATAAAAGCCTGCTAATAAATGCCATTCTTTCGATATGATATAGCCATTCCTGTCTGTAAGATTGTACTTTGTCACTGATTGCTTAAACATTTAATTCTTTTCTTGTTTCTCCATTTCTGATTCTATCCAGTTTGATAAATCTTCTTACAAATCTCGTAAATTTCATTTTGGCAGACTGACATCTGTTTGGCTTTCTCACTCTGAATCCAACATTCACTTCAAAACAACTGGAAGATATTAACAAAATTATAAATGTAATTTAACAAGTAATTATATTAAATATTACCTTACATGTAATATAAGTAGTTACGTCTACAGGTGTGTCTCTGTTAACGCACAGGCCTGAGCGAGCCTAAGCCCCCGATAGTTCGTAAAAAAAAATGATTTAATTCTAAATTTTTCATTAAATAAAATTTAAAAAAGTATAAAAAGGTTATGTATGATTAAACTACAAGCAAAAACTGGCATAACTGAGTAATGTGTTGTGCATCTTTGGATAATTTATAATATGGAGTTTTGCTGGTTGATGCATTTTAATTTTATATTGTACAATTCAATAAAAGATGAAAACAATTTCATTCTTGGTGTTTTTCAATGTAAGTATAAATCTGTTATTTGAAATTGGAGGAAGGTGGAGAAGATTGGTGAAAGTAAGAATAGGGGTCTTCCCAATTAAACTAGGCTCAAGACCCCCCCACATTAAAACGGCCCCGGCTGAACCTGATTGTTGGTGTTGTTTAATCCTCAATTAGTTTCACACAGTTGTGGAATTCCAATATTTTCTTAAATATCTCATTTCCAATGTTTATCCATTGCTTCAGCTTGTGAGAAGCTGAGTTTTTAACTTTCAAAATGCAGCCCATGTTTGATTATTTATGTGTTGGCAATTTCTTTTCATTGTGTTTCAAAACATTGTTTTGTGAATATTTAGGAAACAATATATTTGATGAGGTATACCACTTCAAAAAATCAGAAAAAATTAACAAAGTACATTGTCACTAACAAAAAACAATTATGAAAGTTTTTGAAAATGCCAGAGTTATTTTTAGAAATTTTTTGGAGCGTCTTTGTAATAGTACGAAACTGTAAATAAAATAATTATGAAAAGATCATATATCTCAGAAATTAAAATTGTTTCATCATTTCCTTTTATGGGGAACAAAATGTCCATGTATTACAATATAGGTAATGATATAGGTATGCTAATATAAGGTTAAGTTATTTTATTATTATTATTTATTATAAATGGAATAATAAAAAAATTAACATTGTTTAAATTTTTTTCAGAATTTGGTTCTGTGCTTCCGTTTACACTTTACTAAAGACTCAACTACTATAAACACTGCTGGAGCCACTGTAAGGCAGCTTGTATCTCTTGTATTTGAAAGAGTTGTTGCTGAAGATGAGTATTTCAAAACTAGAGATACTGTTAAAAGGGAAGTTAATTTAGAAGAACTGAAAATTCCCAGTAATGTGGCACCAAAAGGTCTACGTCCTTGTGCAGCTGATGCTTACCTTATGTTTCAGGTATAGTTTTTCTTTTTTTTACCCGTTTCTATAAGTTTACTGAATTTAATTAAGTCATGTTTATCATTTTAGGATTTGGTTCAACTCGTAAATGCTGATCAGCCTTACTGGCTTATTGGTATGACTGAAATGACACGCACATTTGGTTTAGAACTTCTGGAATCGGTTCTAACAAATTTTTCTTCTGTGTTCTTCCAAGTAAGACATTGTTTAAAATACAGAGAAATAGTTTTTTTAATTAATATAAAAGTTTAGTATATATATATTATCATTGTTCCTTAACTTTAAATTTTTTTACTGTCTTTTAGCACCCTGAGTTTAGCTTCCTCCTCAAAGAACGTGTGTGTGCACTGGTTATTAAATTATTTTCTCCTAATATTAAATATCGAAGCTCAGTTCCTGCTAGTGTTCAACAAGCAACTCCTTTGGATAAACCTTACTTCCCTATTAGTATGCGTCTTTTAAGAGTGGTATCCATATTAATCCAAAAGTATCACAGTTTACTGGTAAGTATGTTATAACTTTATTAAAACAGTTTTTTCTTCTTCTAGTATTGTTTTTCCTAATTACAAGAAACTTAAGTTTAATTAAAATTTTTCAGGTGACGGAATGTGAAATATTTTTATCTTTGATTGTAAAGTTCTTAGACCCAGATAAACCGGTCTGGCAACGTTCTCTGGCTTTGGAAGTTTTACACAAAATGACTGTTCAACCAGAATTGTTAAAGTCTTTTTGTGAATGTTACGATTTGAAAACTCATGCTACAAATATTTTCCAAGATATTGTGAACTCTTTAGGAGCGTATGTTCAGTCTCTATTTGTGAATCCCCAATTGATGGGTCAGACAGCTAGTGCAGGTGAGTGTTATAAAATTCTCGAGGTATTGTGCATGGGTAAGTTAGTGAGTTAAAGAATAAATAATACAATTAAGTTTTTCAATGATGATTAACTGTACTTCGGGAGATTTAACTTTGCTACTGTGTAACAGAGACCTCCATATGTTTTCATGGCAATTAGCCAAAAGGGGTATGTGAAATAGCAACAAACACCAATCAGCTTTGGTGATTACATGATATGTCATAAAGTTGTTGACTGAAGGCTCAGTTGGGTTTCAAGTGATGAGTGATTGTGAAAAAAGTAGTGAAATTAATAGTGCCTTTCCCTCTGCATAATATTCTTCAAATCATCCATGGAAATAATTATGTAAACTTTAAAAACAACTATGTAATAGCTAATTGTGCTATTGATTCTTAATACACAAGTCTTTATACGCACATGGTAATCCGTTTATTCAAATGTAATTTGTAAGTTAGGGAAATCCTAAGCGCACATTTACAATAGCGAGAGGGATGCAAGACTGCATCATTGTTGAGGAAAATGCTAATGGAGGTGGCAGTCACTACTTGGTTGGCAACACCGTGCCATGCGGCTGCTAGCTGTTAGTCCCAAAGTAGATCTCCCGAAATATGATGTTCACTTTTATACAACTCAAACACTTTATTTCTTGTAATTGTGGAAGTATTTGTAGAATTTCTGTGAGTAAATACACATTGAAGTTCAGCAATGCTTATTATTCCTCAGCAGATTGAAAGAGAATATGAATTACTCAATTGATGTGTATAAAGTTGCTATTGCTACTTTGTATGAGACAATCTTCTTTGCTTTATTCTTGATTCCAGTTGGCAATTTTCAGTAAATAACTTTATTCCCTGCACTCATAGGAAAGAGAAATTGCTCCAAGCCCTTCATCTGTGTTCTCCATCCATTCTAAACCCACAGTGTTTGCAAAATCCTGGCTGATCTTGTCATCTAAATTGGCTTATGTGCTTTGAATCGCTAGAACAGCTTCTCGAGCTTGGATTGAGTTGAAATTTTGATTATTTGTGCTAAAGGGTTCTTTAAAGATGATATATCAAGTTTGGTGAGCAACATAGAAATTCAGAATTTTGACAGTAACACAGAAATTGACTCTCAAACGTTTCACTTCTAACAATCTATGAAAATATTAAATATTTTGTTAAAACTGGCTTGTGAGTAGAGACTACTTCAGAAGAAAAATAGGTTCATCCAATGTATGTTTTGTTATTACTTGCTATTGACCATAATTTGAAATGTTCTCATGTATTGATTTGGAACATCTTTTCAGCTGGAGCTGTGCCTGGTACTCAAGGCCAGCCCCCTGCACTCTTGGCAGGCATGCCAGTTGGGCCTGGAGTCTCTCCACAGCCTGGTTTCTTCTCCAGAGGAGTGTGGCTTCCTGTAGTGGCTACATTTTCTAGCGGTCAAGCCAAATCTACTTAGTAAGTCATTTTCGTTTGTTATGTCTTATGTCAGTACTACTATACTCTATACTAAATCAGTAAATTTAATTTAGTATAGAGTCCTCAGCAAAAAAATATTACAGTTGTGCATAACGAATAATTTCCACCAATAGTAAATTAATTCATAGTATCTTACTTTTTTTTTAGTCTTGAAATGTTGGATAAAATTGAACCGCCACCTATACCTGATGGTTATGGAATATCTGTGGCATATGCTTGTCTCCTTGACATCATTCGTTCTATTGCATTAACAATCGAAGGAATACCTGCAGCAAATGGAGAGCAACAGTTGAATGTGACCTACAAAGGAACAGAAGAAGAGAAAAAATTACATTGTCAATTGATAAATTCAAGTTGGTGTGGTTTGTTAGCTGCACTGAGTCCATTGATAGATGCAAGGTACGTAGAAACTTTTCATTACTTTAGAGAAAGTATTGTAAAGCTGCAAAAAATCAATGTTGAGATTTTGATGGAAATATGTTTTAAGGGGCCCTGATACCAAGTGTTTTTGTTTTTTATTGAGACATCTATTTGTCTGTTCTTCATCTTTGTGTGAACAAAACTAGTGCCTACACTGTACACATGATTTTCATCAAAATTATTATTTCCCTGATTGATCTGGCTGATTTTGTTAACCTGCAAATGTGAAACGGATCTTTTAATATTTGAGTATACAGGCCAAATTCATTGTCATCTCTTACACTGAGTGCTCCCTTAAGTGGACGAATCGTATTCATAAACAGCCCTTGGGTGAAGTCTTAAGTGAGCACTCGTTCCTACAAGCGAGGCAGCTTGCTCCCTTAAGTGCCCCTTGTGGCTTACTCGCATTGGCAGTCGTAACCAGTTTAGGTTATACTTTTACGGTATTCACCGACTATTGAATTCATTTTGCGGGTGTTAGTATAGTGTAGCCAGTTAAAACGTTTCATTTGTGAAACGTGTTGTGGAAAACAACTTCATAGATTATTTTGAGTTTTATATTCGATACATCCTGCGAAATTGAAAGAGAGGTATTAGAGATATAAACAACCCATAGGAAATTTACAATGATAAACTATTCCGAAAGTAGTTTTATTTCAATAAAACGACTGTAGTGGATGATCGACAAAGTCACAATGACTAAAAGAGGACTGCTGATTTCCCCCTTATTAAAAGTTCTTGTTGCATTAAGATTTTATGCAACTTCATCCTTTCAGGAATATTTCCAAAATTTTTAACTTTTATTCATTACTGATTTATAAGACCTATTATAAGTAATTATGAATTTGCAATATGAATAACAAGTGAAGTAATTTAAATTGTTGTAAATGGAATTTATGTTAATACTATATGTGGTTAACATTTGCCATTACCAATATTGGCAGGCCTATGTTCATACTATGTACATTAGTTAGTGCAGCTGCTGCCAATGCCATGTTGCCACATTTCCCTTCCGCTTAAGTGAACGCTCATTCCGCGGTCGTAAGGAACGTTCATGAAATACGAGCGCCTATAAGTGAAAACTTATTTTGAGAAAGCACTTATCACTTAAGGGTTCGCTTATCCTATAAGTGATGACTATGAATTCAGCCCTTCATATCATAAAGCCTCTACATTTTCAAAATTTTCTCAAAGGCAAGGAAAAAAAAAATTACTTGAAGCGAGCAGAGTAGGTTTACAAAAAATATACAGGTTTGAATTGCCATTAAAACCTCTGAATTTTCAAAAATTGTATAAATTTGAAATTGTTTATACTCCTCCTACAACTACATTATTGAAGATTGTTTTTCTCAACAAAATCTATTCTTCCAAATTTCATCTTAAGGTGATGTCATGTCATAATTTATATTTTATTTTTATTTTTACATAACAAAGTCGGGCAGGTTACCCCATTAAATGACAATCTGAATTACAATTTAATATAAAAAAAGTGTTATCGTAATTTATAATATGCCCAACCAAGGAGTTCAGAAAGTTAACTGATGCATCTTAATTCAAATCAATATGAACTAATAAACTGTTAACTCTATAATTTTAAATAAACTAGATTTGTGCACATACAAGTTGTTAGATTCAGGATTTTAAAAAGCCCAGAATGGACAAGAGTTGTACTGCTGAATTGAGAATGAAACTTAGACAACAAATAAGGTGCATGAATACTTCCTTGAATAATTTAAATGAAAAATAATAGTCTATTGTTATTTTTCTCTGTTATCAAGACTGCCAAACCTAAACTTGTCTTAGAGACACTTATCGATTTCATGAGATGGTAACTATCGGTTAATTTCTAGATTCTTAGATCTAAGAATTTAGCGAATCGTCTGTGACAGTTTTCACATGACTTAATTAAACCAATTTTGTCAGATCAGGTAAAAATAAATCACATTTCGAGGGAGGATGATTTGAATTAACAGAAAAAAAAGGATCAATTACTGGAAAAACTACATTATTAATTAGTAAATAAGAGATCCAGTAATTTATCATTACAATTATAAACTTTGTGAAACTATACTAAAGCACGAAAGTTCAACAAATTCAAAATAAACTGAGATTCCAGATCTATGGATGTATTAGAAAAAATATTAATAAACTTAGAACAATTAAAGCTGCCAATAATAATCATTCTCTCTGACCAGAAACTCAGAAAATACATGATTTCATTACATATTCACATTCACTCAAATTAATAGAGGGAGATACACTGTACTATAAAAATAATGATTAATTCGCAGAAAAATAGTTGGTCTCCAGTAATGACTACTAATTTGTTCAACCTATATTGATACAAACTACATAGTTATGCATATCTGATTTTAAAAGCTCAATGGCCATTGCATGACTAGTCAGGCTGGAAACGTGAGAATTAGGAACATGAAGAGTTAACCATTTTTAATCATTAAATTATTTTTTAACGGAGCATTTGTGGTAGAAAAATATTTCTTGTTCAGAATCCATAGTAAACTTTTAGAAACCCAACTATAAATCACTTTGTCAACAATTTTTCATGTTCCAATTCCAATCCTAAGTTCCAAGAATAGTAATATTGTGTCATTACTAAATTTCTACTTTGCTTGGCATAAAAAAATTGTAAACAGCATAAAATGTCTTTATTCTGTATTTGAAGAACTTCTTGCTTTTTTAATCTGAGATAATTTTATTTTTATTTTTCAGCACTGACGAATCTGCTTCTGAAAATGTGTTGAAGGCCATTCAGACATTTGCAAGTCTCTGTGGTTGTTTGGATTTGCATACTCCTAGAGATGCATTTATTACAGCAATATGTAAAGCTTCTCTTCCTCCTCACTATGCCTTAACTGTATTAAATACAGCTCCTCAAGGTGCAGGTTCAGCAAGAAGTATGTTATGTATGAAATAAAATATATAAGCATTCCATAGCTGTCTTAGTAATAATGCTTCTGTGAAAGCAACTTGTTCTTACTTCAGGTCATTCCCGTGCAGGTAGTCAAGACCTTAATTCACAGTACAATTTAAGCACATATGGAGAGGCAGATTATCGACAACAAGTTGTGGCTGTTGGAACTCCACTGCCTACAGCTTCCCTTCCAATTGGTGAGTTTTGTAATCGTGCATTTTTCCTTCTATTTTCATTGTCGTAATAAATAAGAACCTCAACGTATTTTTTTGCAAGCTTGTCAAAAGTGTCTTGCATTCTGTTTTATGGCCCCTTTAAACTTTTGTCATAATCATTGGCTGAAGTTTTTCATAAAATTTGAATTTTAAAATGTTACTGAACACTAATTTATTATAATGTTTCCTATCTATTTATTTAAAACCTAAGTACTTTTTAAATTATGCCTGTAAAATTATTTTTTTAAATTAATCTCTTAAAGTTGCATTTTATGGTTCATTTATTGTCCATAAAATTGAATTTTTCAGTTGATGCTGATAAAAACTTTTATCAATATAAGCCTGTAACTATGCTAGCACCAACTTAATACATTGACTGCCTACAGATGTTTTCAAGTTCTGGTATAGGGATCCACTACAAGTGCGCTTGTATCCTATTTCAGCTCTGTGCCATGTACAAGATTACTTGCAGAAAATATATGAAACTAGTGGTGCTAAAACAGCATGTACTTTTTCGCCTGTACTTTCACACAAAATTACACAAAAACTACTCAAATTTTCAAAAAATTGTAGATAGCCTCATTGCAAAATCTATTGTTAAGGAACAGATTTTATTAGGGGAAAAAACCTCTATCTTCATAATCATAGTTGTAGAAAGATACCAAAAAAAATTTGAATTTTTACAATTTTCAAAACATCAGTTTTTTACAAAATTGAGACCTGCACAAACGTCCTTCACACTGTTCAACAACAAAATTTAATCAAAACGAGCAATATTTTGGAAATGTTCCAGGGGCTTTATGTAAAGTACCCCCAAAATTAAAATATCGCTTTCAAATTCAAGGAGCTGTGACATTGGCCAGATTGATTTGGGAATATCAGTTTTGTAGATAATCGGCTGAACAGTTTTGCCGCTAGCGTTGTTCACAGATGGGACAGACAGACAGAATGACAATTTGCCTTCATTCGATTTTTCAGTATCCCACAAAACATTGATTTTGGCTACATCACATTGTAGAGGTTTTTTTTTCTAAATTTATGAAATGAATTTATGCACTTTTTTGTTACCAGAGCCATGTAAAAAGAGTTTTGCTGCCAAAAATTCACTGTTTTTGCGCACAGCATTATGAAACTTTCTCTCTATCCCACAGTGAGAAAAGTAAAATTATACTAGAGCACCTGAAGCAACCTTAAAATTCAAAGTTTTGGCTTTTCTAAATAGAATGTGGAGATATAAAATGAATAATAATCTAGGATTATTTCACAAAACCTTAAATTCTGATAAGCTACATAATTTAATATACTTCTTGCTTTATCAATAAATTTTGAAGCAGTTCTTGCCATAAAATGCCAACTTATCTTCAGATTATGAACAAAAGAAACTAGTGTCATGAAGTTTCTTTTCTTTTGTACAATACTTTAGTTGAATGGAATTTTTTTTTCAGCTGGTGATGAAATTTGTCCTTTGGTATGCTTTTTCTTTTTACTGTCTCGCATTACTACGTAACAAGAGAAAGTATTGTAATCATGTGCTTAAAATTGGTGATTTTTCGCCAGAAAAACGTATACTGCCAAACCCTGGTCATGAAAAAGTGGATAAATCTTGTTCCTACAAGAAGAACATAACTTTCTCGAACACGTGTAGTCAGATCCATGTTTTGTGGGGCCTTCCTACTGAAAATTTCAGCATCTTGTCTGTCTCTGCCAGTCTGTTTGTGTCTGTCCATGACTGATTGTCTATGGGTGTCTAAGTCAGAGTTGGCAGATGGGGCTTCAAAAGTCTTTGTGGGCTCTCTTCTTAATTTTGAGATGGCTGACAAATATCAAGAATTGATAAAAAATTTCAAGGAAGAACTAGACAAGATGCAAAGGCATTTGGAAAGGAATTTGTTTACCTTGAAGAAAAACATGAAGAAAACAACCAGAAAAAGATATTTTGAGTATCAAGAACAAGGAAAATCTCAGGAGCAATCCAAAAATTAACATCAATGGTGGAAGTCTTTAGTCTGTAGTTATGTCTGAAGTTACCAAAGCTCAGGATATTTTGTTGAATGAAAAAAAATTACTGCCATGTATTAGTGTAAACAATGACCTTTACCTCTATGCAAAGACAAGAATTTAAAGGTCTTAGATGAGCACTCTTGAACAGACAAAAGGTAGACCCTAATCTTAGATACAAGTATGGGTCTCATCAATTCATCATGGGCAAAGGAAACTGCATTAAACAGCGACAAGCATAAAGGAAATAAACTAAATTTTGTATACACAATCCAGACAATAATAATTACAGAATCTTAGCTGAACTCTCATATTCCTGGTTCACTGATATCTATTCCAAATTTCGCAATTTACTATAGGGATCATATGGACAGAAGGAATTGTGGAGTTATATACATGAAGAATGTGATTCAGAATATAGTAAGGGTGATAGTCATTGTCTTGTATTTAGATGTAAATGTTGCTTGTTGTTTTTTCTTCTTTTTTTTTCCAGTTACTTTAATTTATGAGTTATCTGGAATGGGGGTGAATATTCTAGTTATAAATATTTTAATAACAGAATGTCTCTTAAAATATCTATTGAAAGTAGTACCTTGTAATAAGAGTTTAAAAACTCTTCGTAAATAAGTGAGCTATATAAAGGTCAACGTTATTCAGGTTCTCATTGGGATGGGTTTGTGTCTTTCGCCTTTTACTATCAGAGTCGGAAAGGCAGGGAGGAGTGAGAAGAGAAATGCTTCTTTGACTTTCTTGGGTATGTATAAAAACAAGTATGGTGAAGCTACTGGAACAAATATCAGGTTTTTGGCAGAGAAACTTTTTTGGGTCCTTGATAAGGAAAATATAGGGTTTTCTTACTTCTTATTGTAGTCTGTTACTTGGTGAATACACTGAGTAGTCAAAATTCATTATTTGAGAGTGTTTGGTACCAAAGAAATGTTTTTTTCTCAAAATGTTAGACTGTGAACAACTGTAACACCTACATGGTATGCAGAATTTTCACCAAAATTGATATTCCCTGATCAATAAGGTTGATGTTGTAATCCTTCAGATTTGAAATAAATATTTTAATTTTTGAGGGTACTTTACTTGTAGCCCTGAAGCTCGTAGGACATCTTCAAAATTGCTGCAATTTCTTCTTCTTCTTCTTCTTCTTCTCCTTCTTCTCCTTCCTTCTTCTTCTTCCTTCTTCATCCTTCTTCTTCCTCCTCCTCCTCCTTCTTCTTCTTCTTCCTTCTTCTTCTTCCTCCTCCTTCTTCTTCTTCTTCCTCTTTCTTCCTCCTCCTCCTTCTTCCTCCTCCTTCTTCTTCCTCCCCCTGCTTCTTCTTCCTTCTTCTTCTTGTTCTTCCTTCTTCTTCTTATTCTTCCTTCTTCTCTTGTTCTTCCTTCTTGTTCTTCCTTCTTCTTCCTTCTTCTTCTTCCTTCTTCTTCCTCCTTCTTTCTTTCTTTCTTCCTTCTTTCTCCTTTTTCCTCATTTTTCTTCTTTTTGCTTGAATGGAACAAAGTATGCATATAAGAAGAGCATAGGCCTGGTTTTCAGTCAAACCACTGAAGTTTGAGAAATTGCAGAAGTTAAAGATGTTTTAGATCCCCTCTACCAACTGCAATATTGAAGATATATATATTTTTGTAAATGATATTTGTTCTTCAAAATTCGATCATGAAGTGATGTGTACAATTTCTTGAAAATATGAATCTTTTTTGTGTAATTTTGTGTAAAATCATGGCAATTTTAAAAAAGATACATAAACGAGATTTTCTCAATAATGGCTCCAAATGTTTTTCTTTAAGTTTCACTCAAATAGAGTAATTTTCACTTTGCAATATGCAATAAATGCTATTTTCATTAAAACCTGAACTTCTTAAAATTGCAAAAGATCAAATGTTTTTCAAACTATTTTTGCACTTTTAATATTGAAATTAGATTTCTTTGTTAATGCAAACAATTCTTCGGTATTGGATTTTCAAACCATTTCACATACTCTTGATTGAAAATATTAGTATTTTTGCATAATTTTGAATTGAAATGTGCAGGATTACAGGAAAATTGCAGATATATTATAGCCCTGTAAATGATACAGTTGTCAACATTGCATCTTAATCCACGTTACTTTGGTTTTGATCCCACCCTAAGTAAATATTTCTTATTTGTTTATTTTCCGTCAATTATTTTGTAAGAATAAAGCAGAATATACTCAATTCAATGACAGGAACCTATTTTCTTTGAAACTTTTTAAAAAACAAGAAAGAAAAAATAACTTTTTTAACTGGCTCTGGTTGATTACACATTTTTTTAAGTGATAGCTTAAGTGTTGGTGGGTTAGAAGGTGCAACATTGTCACATAATCATTATCAATAATATGGGAAAATATATTCTGTTGTAGCACCACTTGTATTTTTGTTGTTATGCGTACTGCATTTAAAAGGGAATGCCTTGGCATTTAATCATAAGCTCATGATTCTCAGTATGTATGTATGTCACTCATTTAGTGTTCAATTTTAAATATATAATTTGTTCCGTGTTACTTGTTTTAAGCTGTAAAAACCACTGATGTTGGGGGACGTAATCCTGAATCATATAATTTTTCAGACCTGTGTATTAATTTTTAATACTGATATTGTGGATGATTTTTTTCACCTCCATATTAAAAAAGGAAATAAAAAAGCAAACTGAAATGTTTTGTTGATGTACCCTTAATTTAAAATTTAAAAATTTTGCTTTTCAATTGAAGTGTTCATTTCCCATTAAAATAAAAAATTAATGTCATCTCTAATGACAGGATCATTTGAAGGGCATGTGAAGGGAAATTAGGAAGTACAGGGAAATTTTGCACTTCAATGTTTTCATGTTGTAATCTTGAGAATTTAATGTTTTCCTCAAAACTGCTCACCATTGGGAAATAGTGTGTAGTATAGGTTGAAATAATAGAAAATATATGTAGTAACAGTAAATACAGAATTCAAGAAAGCACATTAATGTGCCATATTATTTCTGGCTTGGAAAGAGATGAGTTTTTTCATAATGCTCTCCATGCCATTTGATACTTTGTAGAAAACTGATATATATCACTATTTGCAGGTGCACAACAAGGGCCGGTTATGTTGACAGCAAAGAATTTGCAGTGTATGCGAGCCCTCCTCAGTCTTGCTCACTGTCATGGTACTATTCTCGGCACTGCCTGGCACTTGGTGCTCACCACCCTGCAGGTAATTTTAGTTTCTTTTGTATTTGATGTTGTGGTTGATACTCACATTTTCAATGTTTCTGTTGAATCTTCAGCTCTATGAATCTCTTTGACTTCATTTTCCCTTACTATTTTAAGTGTAGGAGAATTCAAATTGCAAATTCAATTCTTTTAGTGAACATGTAATCTGCCCCTTGGATAGACACCCTAGAGTGCTGTTGTGGTTATTGTTGCAGTTGTCATTGTTGTCACCATTGTGGCCATTGCTAGCCTCTCTTCACCTTCTAAGAACATTGGTACATGTAGATATTTCAATTCCTGTATCTGGTTCTAACACATTCTGTTTTTTCAGAGCTCTCTCCACCCCTTTTTAAATGACATTACTGAGGAAGACTTAAGTTTCATAAAAATTGTTTTTCATTTTATCTTTCATTATATTTTTGCATTTCTTCACCAGTTTTCATTTTTGAGAAGAATATTTGATTATATATAAGTTTATTTAAGAAATAAACAACCTTCTCAGTATTGTTAATCTTCAATAATTTTGTTATCTGTAAGAAATGTTGGTGAAAGTTGTGCTTTATACGAACCAATCTGTTGATTGTTTTCACTATTAACTCTGTTCAAATTTTTAATTTCCCTTTAAGACAAACACCTACATATAAAATTTGAAATATATCTCATTGATATGTATAAAAAAAACTTATCAAAAGAAATGAATTGAGTTCTTACATTATTTCCTATTTTCATAATTATTTGGTATAGTGAGACAATATTTTTTGAAGAAAATATTGGTTAAATGTAAATGTGAGTGTGTGCTGTTGTTGCTGAAAATGTGCAGTTATTTACCTTCTTTGAACTAGTGGGTTGATTTGATTTTCATCAAAGAACAGTAAAAACTGTATACCAGGGAGAAGTATAATCTGCAGCTGTTTTCTTGAGTTTTAGAATATTTTCTCTACATTTTTACTATACATGGTTGAATGATGAATAAAAGAACCAACATAGCGAGATTGAATATTTGAAAACTTGACATTTTCACTCCCAAGTTATAGAAAACTTATTTGCATCAGTAAAAAAATACAGATTTGATTTTTTAGAACTGTTAACTGTTGCAAAATAGCAACCTCTACCCCACTTCTACTACTAATACAACTTGCAACAGGAGAGCTCAACAAAATTTGCACATAGTGTAGCTTCATTTGTGCCCAAATGTTAAGTAAAGGGCCATCTTGGCATTTGCTCCGAACATCAGAGAAACCAGTCAAGCCGGGAATCATTGACCCAAAAGCTAAAGTACATTACTTGTCATATGCATATGTAGTCTTTTTAAAATTATGCAGTAAACATGTTAACTAATTTATTAGATATCATTGTTAAAATAAATATTATTTTTCTTTCTGATTTGTATAGAAACAGTTGTGCAGTAGAAAACATTCTACTTTGCATGTGTATCGATTTTAGTTGTTTAATGTCAATTTGCAATGTGTTGTAAAGTAATGTACTCCTATTATATGTGGATTTGTTGTAGTGAACTGTTAATACTGACATATTTGAATACGTTTCCACTTAAGGAAGTAAGTTTTAACAAAAACTGCTAATTTTGAAATAAATAGGCAAGGTACTGCTAAGATTCCAAGCTCAGTGAAGAGAGTCTTGCAAGAACCGCATGGATGGCATTTGCTCATTATTTGTACAATTGTTTTCTGCAATCTAAAAGTCTGAATAATATAGGAATTGCTTCCTCAGAATATTATATCATATCTGAGATGCAAATGTACATTCACAAAATACACCCAAGAAGCTGCATGAAGGCTGACTGAATTCAAAAGAATTCTTAATTAACTTAATTTTATGTTCAATTCATTTTTATCGATACTCCATTCAAGGTTTGACTGTCAAATATCTATTTTAACTGCAAAATTGAAGAAGAAAAATTGAAAATTGAAAATTTGTAAATTCTATTACCTGTATTTATTTAATTACTTAACATATTCCATGGACTAGGTGTGCCTTACTCAACAATATGAAAACCTATTTGTCAGGAAAAAATGAAACAAATTTTCTGAGAAACAGAACAAATTACAAAAATATAAAATGTACTTATACTGTAATTACCCAAATCTAAGAAGAGTTTTTTTTTCTAAATGCCTCGTTCTAAAAATACAGGGTCATTTTATATTCCCAGACTAGGCCTAGTTTTTAGTAGCCTATTTTTAACAATAAGCTGCTAAGGCAATAGATACCATCTGTATCTATAATACCTAATTATATTTGCGGATGTATTATTGGCACCCTTTTTGAATTTGCCAAGTGATTGAAACCAATATTTTGAGGAGAGAATATCAAAAGAAAGAAATTTAAGTTGAAAAAAACATTAAAATGATTCAAATTAATCGCCAAGATTTCATTACATGTTGCACATTTTCAATAAGGCCGTTAGGACTTTCGGTTTAATGCCAGGCGAGTGTCAATCTGCATTTTGCAAGAGATTGAAGTGAAAACACTCTCATAGAAGCATTCAACAATTCAACTCCTTCTGCATTCAAATATACAGATGGACTGATAAAAAAACTTTTTTTAGCAAAAAAATTCCAAACATTGGTAACTTCGCAAATCTCCTGTGCCAACCATGGAAAGGAGATGTAGATATTCGCAGTTTACGCCTGGGTTACTCAGAGCCCACAAACAGGTGTGTGACTGGAGGAAAATCTGCCCAGAAGTGTCTGGAAGGAAGTGAAACTAGAAACAATAAAGAAGTGTTACATTTTTTCTGGATTTAGATCTTCTGATAGTTTTGATATTGTAGGCAGTAGTGATAAAGAGGATTTGAATCAACTCTGCAGTGCTGCTGGTACTGAAGTGATGCCATTCGTGAGATAAAGAAGATTCCCTATTTCAATGATGGGGAACACTGGGATGAAGTGATTGCTGAATTAGATCCGACATGTAACTAATAGAAAGTAATATTGATGAGGATTTTGTAAACATATTAATTAATAAATTCAGATGATGAAATACAATAAAGCTTTCATTTAAAACCAGAATATTGTTGCAATGCTTATCATGGTAGTCGCAGCCACAGCAGTAAGTACAGAGTAATGGTGAGATCTTCCCTTTCAAGAAGATCACCCCTCCAAAAGACCCATTTTATTGTATATATCTCGTGGTCACTGTAAAGAGGTTTTACTGTCCCATTTTAAAAGTTTGTGAAGATTTAAATTTTAATGTGTTTTCTCTATGAAACCTAAGTTATGAGGTGAATTTATGACTATTTTACCCATTTTTTATCAAAATACAATTTGCAATAAAACATGACAGGACTTCCATTGAATTGATTAGCTGGACCCATGCAAACATTCTGCTCTTTGTAAATCATTGTTTTATAAGAGAAAATAGCTTCATACTCTAATTGAACTTCAAATGAATAATCCATTAACTGTGTTTCAGCATTATAGTCCTACTGTGTATGAATAATCATCTTCATATTGCTGAGCTTTGATATTAAATTATATTGATTATTCCACTCACAAATTATCCCTCAATGAAATGTAAGAATTCAATCACCACTTCTGCGTGGGAAATTTGATAATTTGCTGTGCACTCCTAGTATTATCTATAAAGATCAAATTGTCACTTAAGTATTATCATGGAAGGTCATATTCTTTCAATGTAAGTTTCAGTAGATTTTGATTCATTATAGAGTTAAGTCTTCTTTTACAGACTACAGCTTAAGAGAACATAACTTGCATTCCTTAAGGTGCAGGAAAACAGAGTTTTAAGGATTTAGAATGCATTATTTCTGAGTTATAAGGGTAAAGTGAGTTGCTTCCTAACGTGTATGTGGATGGAGGGATAATTACCTTTCTAACAGTATCACAATTTCATGTTTTGTATCAATATTGTTGTTGTTTTTTTTAATAAAAAATACTTATCATTTTATGCAGAGAGAGGATATTATGTAAATTATGGTTTTCTATACAATAGGTATCTATTTTACATTTTTTTAATCTTAAAAATGTAATTAATTTGCACATAAAGATGAAATTTGGTATCATTAAATCTATTGCCTATTTTGTTAACCAAGTAACCGAGATGTAGTTGTACTGTGTACACCACTTTCAGAAGATATTTATGATATTTTCCATTTTATCCATTGTTATATTGTGCCTTCATATGTGTATAAGGGCAAGAGATGTGCAGTTTACATACATTATGTATTTGTATACAATTCAGTGTAAAAAGCTAAAAGCTGAGCTTGATAACTACAGATAGTTCACATGACCTTTTCTTTTTTCTTTTCATTACACATAATTTCTTGAATATATAAATTAATGGTTCTAAGAGAGGTTTCACCCAGAAATTATAAATGCACTGTGTATGTGCTACTCCAGTATTATCTAGATATCAAAAGTTGCGTATAATTGCCATTATTTGTAATTGTTATTCATTCTTTGCCATACTGTTCTAATGTAAGATATTACTTTTCTTGTGCAGCATTTGGTATGGATTCTGGGTTTAAAGCCTTCTACTGGAGGAAGTTTGAAAGCTGGTCGCACCACAGCAGATTCCAATGCTGTTATTACAACAGCAGTGATGGCTGATCTGCCAGTGTTGTCTGCAATGCTGAGTCGCCTGTTCGAGTCTAGCCAGTATTTAGATGATGTGGCTTTGCATCATCTTATTGATGCCTTGTGCAAATTGTCACATGAAGCAATGGAGCTAGCCTATTCAAATAGGGTAAAGTAATGTTTCAATTGTCTCCTTATATTTGTCAATGAATATGATGTTATGCTGTTTCTTTGGAAAAGTAATGACAATATTTTCTAAGTATTAACAAATTGTGAAAAAAAATATTCAATAACTGTCATTGAGTAATTAATTACTACCATTAATAACTTTACTAACTAAAATATATATTGCCTTTGCAAGATATTGACATCAAAAGTTTATCCATGAAAATCAATAGTTTCGATGAAGTTTTGTGTGCCTGGGAGATATCACATCCTAGGGAGTGTAGACAACATTTCATTTGATACAATGAGAACTTCAAGAATGCAAAATCGCAGAAGCATGGACAAGAAGGTCTCAGAATGACAGCTGTAATGTTGCCCCTTTGCCTTGTACAAAGCATCTCCTCTACCATGGCGCTATTGACATGGTGCTTGGCCACAGGAACCTGTGTTTACAGTTGTTTCAATGATCATATCTTTTTGAAGAGTTTCTGAGCCTCATCAGAATATACCTTGTACTTCTTTGCTACTATCACATATATTTCTAATTTCCAATGTGTGCAGAAATAGAAAGAAACCTGTGCCCCTTTCAGCCATGTAAGAGAGGTGTCTATAGTTCATTAGATATCCAAGGACCTTGGGAAAACTCCAAAAAGTCTATATTCTAATTTCCAAGGCCCACGGAAGTTGAAAGAGAACAATGGAGCCTCCAGCCATGTGAGAGGTGTCTATGTTTTCATTCGATACTCAGGAACTTGGGGAAAAATCCCATAACATCTCTATTACTAATATTGAATGTACAGATAAATTGATGGTAAACTATGCAGCCTCCAAGTATGTGATGGGTGTTTATTGTCTCTTGTTAAATACTCAGAAAGTCGGGGGAAATCCAAAAATTATTTAATGGTTTCAATTTTGACTGAAAAAATGCAAATATGTTATTCCACAATTTCTCAAACTGCACATACCAACTGAATTCTCATATTCAGTGTATAACTGCTTATCTCAACTGGTGGCATGTGATGGCAGGTCTTGAAAGAAGAGACTGTCTGCCATTAAATATTTCCTATTCATGTATTGCATAATGGTACAGCATTTTTTTTTCTATATCCTTGGTTTGTAAAGAACTGTATATGAACTGAGCTATATTATTGCAATATTTGTAAATTGTTTTTATTACAATATTTTTTATTGCATTGTTATATGAGTTTAATTTGTGTGTTCCGAAGCAGTGTGCATACCATTTTTTGTGGTTTTCTTCCGCAGCATTTTTGCTGCTGCAGGCAACATGTAGTTACTAGTGGTCATCGTTATTATCTTTGTTGTTATTATTATTATTCCATATCTCTTTGTGAAAAGTCATGAACATTACAGGAGCCTGCTTATTAATTTTGGTAAATTTTGGTATGCAAAGTACAATAAGAGTGAGATGTTCACTTAATCTCAACTCAATCCAAGTCTTCATTAATGATGGGGAAAATGTCACTGATGTAGTGAGTTTTACAAATTCTTATTTTGCTTTTATGTAGTTGTTTGTGTGTGATATTCTTCAGGAACCATCACTTTTTGCTGTTGCTAAGCTGCTTGAGACTGGCCTTGTAAATTTGCCTCGAGTTGAAGTCCTTTGGCGCCCCCTAACTAACCACCTACTGGAAGTTTGTCAACATCCTCACATTCGCATGCGAGAGTGGGGTGTGGAAGCTGTGACATATTTGGTGAAAGCTGCATTGCAACATAAATATCAACCACCGCTTCGAGAAAATCAGGTAATAATTCTTCTTAACTGAAAATTACACCCCACCTCAACAAATTGTTTGGTCTCAGGTAATTAATTTTGTAATTTTTAATAAGATTGGAGTGTGCTCCTGCACCTGTGCACATAACGGATAACTATATGGGTCATGTGCTTCTTGTAATATGGTTTTCATTTCTTGGCTATGGGCTATACCTTGTTTCTGTGCATGTTGTGATTGCATAAATGTGGGATAGTTTTTATAATAGTTCACATTGTTTGTCATTTTTATTTAGAATGTAAGATTTCTTTAACTGAAGTTCTTCGAAATTTAACCTGACAAAGTATTGTTTAAAATATGGTTTATATCTGTATGGTATAATTATTGGGACATGAAGACATAGTAACTCTTTCTACATTTTAGATCAAATATTGGATAACTCAGTAAATAGAATTGGTCATACAAGACAATAACAGGATCTTACACAAAGTGTGAACCACGTCTGTAACTTCTGATTGGTGTACAATATTGAAATGCAGTTTTGCCTAACCATACAGTATCATGGGACAAGTAATATGTCATAGAGATGTTGATGTACTTTTTTAGTTTTGGAGAAATTGAATTGCCTTTGACATTGTAAATAGAACAATTTTTTTTTTCTCCTACAGTGGATAGATTATAAATTGAGTAATTGTGCTTCAAGAATCCTTGTTCAAATATGTACTCATAGTGACAGAAACCTGCCATGATATTCACTTCAATTTTTCCCCTGAACCTTTTATTTCATCATTCAGAATAAATTGGTTATAGATGTCCTGTGTAGATAATTGTTATCACGTGTGCATGTGTCTTGGCTTAAATGTGCAACTGGGTGATCAAAATATATTAATCAGTGCATGTTCTGTAAATAAAAATTGTTTTTATGGAATTTTTTTATTAACTTCTTCTATGATATAAGTAGGGGCGAATTTTTATGCCCTAAAAAATCTTAAAATATGCTATTAAAAATGTGCATTTGTGACCTAAAAAATCTGAAATTTGCACTGTAATATGCAATAAAATTAACAATATCTCATTTCCTATATAAACCTTTTTTGATAAAATTCAGGAGAAGCATGCTTGGAATGAAAAGATATAATTTAATGGAAACATAATACAATGTACGTTACTTCATGTGAGAAATAATTGAAGTAAATATTCACCTTAGTGAGGTACATTGTATGTCTTGTTACATTTCTTCTGCCTTGTTTCAAAAATGTGATCAAGAAATCAATCAGATCAAGAAATTTCCTACTTTTGCACAAGTGATTTATCATCTATAGAGAAGAAAAAAACGCAAACTGACAGGCTCATTCTAATCAATGAAAGCTCTCAACTAAATAGTAGATTCTATGAGAAGATGAAACATTTTAGCAATAAGTCTCTATTTGAACAAAATATGCACCTATAATTACACAAATATGCACCAATAGAAAAAAAATCAGCTGAATATGCACTAATGTGTTAATCAACATAGCATCCAATGCTAACCAAATGTCAAGAAATTTCTCTTTGCTATACCCTGAAACAAAGGACAAAAATGTGCAAAATCATAGAAATCCGCTCCCTAGATATAAGATCTCAAAATTAGCACCTTTGAAAGCATTCATGACATTGCTTATTTCATTTGTTTTATTATTGTGGTATTACTATTAAATCATGATTTGAAGTATTTTCTCATAATAATTTCCATTATTCCTGTAATTAATTTCAGAAGCTACAAACACTTCTCCTGGGCCCTTTGGCAGAGTTGTCATCTGTTCCTCATGGAGATGTTCGCCAGCGCCAATTGGAGTGTGTTTTGCATGTATTGCATGGTGCTGGTGAAACATTGTCTCATGGATGGCCATTGGTGTTGGGAATTATTGGAGCTGTTTCTGATCACCATGGGTATGCAAAAATTATGTTTTAAAGGGGGGGAATGCACTGTAATTACTAAAGGTTTGATTGTTTGTTTTAATATTAGCTCTTCCTTTGTTAAAGTTTAAATAGTTTCTAAGTACTTAATATTCATCACATGTGTGAGACTCGCCACTCTCAGTAATAGGTATATGGTTATAGATAATGAAAATTCTTAATGCGCAAGTGCCAAAATTGACAAAAGCAAGTCCTGACCACCGAATGAATGTACTTGCCATTGCTAATGTACCCCTAAAAGCTTTTTATGTTTAATGATTCTGAAATATTCCAAACATCACACAGATTGTGCTTGGCACATGGCCAGGTTATTTGAATATTCTAAAGGCGTTGAGTCCCTTTTTGCCCCCACACAATTCGTTTTTTCAATACTTTAGAATTGATTTTTTGATTTCATCTTGCAAGTTAAATAGTGAGTGATTGAATCTAGTAATAAAAGTGTGGGGGTAAAAGTCAAGAACTAAATTGTTGAAGGAACACATGACAGGAATTGGTGTCCAGAAGTATTATTCATGCAGAAAATAATAAAATAAAGGGACTTAAAATAAAAATTTATATAATGTATAATATGCTTACAGTTGCTACAAGACAATTTACATTTTTCTTTATGGTTGGACATAGTTTCTTAGTTTCAGATGAATTTCTCCTTTATTGATGAGAGATAGAAGGTTTCAAGGAGCTATAATCCTGATGATGCATGTTGTAGCTAGTGCTAGACTTCTACAAATTTTCGAAGTTATGCCCATGGGAAGAAATAGTTGTAATTTTCACACATCTTTAACAAGCCCTAAAAAACCAAAGATTTGAGAGTTTATGCAAGTATTGTTAGTGCAAATCCTTAGTGTTACAAAGTAAAAAAAATATTATTTTTTAATTAAAAAAATTAATAAATAAAAAACACATTCATTTAATTGGTAGATTAGTTTACTTACAATATGTAATGCAGATCTAGTGTCCACAACATTGCAGCTGTAGAATTGGATGTACTCTCCAATAATCTATGAAACAGACTGAAAAGATAGATTTTACATTTACTTTGCTACTTCCATAACTGAAAATAATAGACCATTGTATTCTGATTTAAATGGTCAATAAAGAATAATTTGAACATAGCTCATTAACAATAATGGAGACTGTGGCACTTCCCCTTTTTTGTGTTTTTCTCACAAATTATTATTGTACAATTACAGTGTGTTTATGCAAATGATCTCCTAATATACAGTGAAATGTTGTTTTAACAAATGGCAATATAATGAAAATTTCAGTTTATGCAATTTTTTCCCTGTTTCCCATAAGTATGTAAAATTTCCTTTCAAAATATGATTGAAATTCATTCTCTTCTACAATCATTATTTTTATTATTGTAGTGCACATAATTCAAATGATTCAAACCTAGTCATTTTGCAGACATTAATGCAATTGGTGGAGCTGTGCACATCTTTCAATGAAAGAAGTGATGCTGTTGGTTGGGTAGAAACGCAAAATTTACAACCAACCAACCGATGTTATGATTTTGTAGTTTAATCACATCTTTCAATTTCCAATTGTATCCATCAAAAAGCCCACCTTATAAAAAAAATAGTTTATTAAATTCAATTTGATAAATTTCAAAAATGTATAAAAAATAACGAAAAATCTCCTACAATTATTATATTTATTTCATATTCCTCTCAATTAACATATTAAGCTTTTCATTTGTAAATTCATGTTGAAATAATGTAAATCCCGCAATGGATACATTGGAGTAGATGTTCTTAAGAATCGAGTTTCTTGAATGTATCAAAATTTCACTCTATCAAAATAATTTCAGAGATCTGACAATTAATTTATATTGTTATTTTGCTATATCATAAATAACTATATCATACATCCACTTAGATTTCTTTAGAAAAATAAATTGAAAAATATTAAAGGTATGAGGATTTTTCTCAGTTCCTCAAAATGACAATTTTGGCACTAAGCGCAATTAGAATTTCCACATGTCAGTTGTAACAAAAGCAGTTTTTTTTAATTTTAAGACTTATCAGCTTTTTTAATATGAAGTGCACCACTTCATAAGAAGTGAAAGTAATTTCGCACTTCTTTTTAATTTATTTAAATTTTTTTTAGGCAGTACAATTTTTTACAATGTCTTCGTGCTTTTTATTACTTACATCATGTTGTGGAAGATTTACTATTCCATTGAGTATTTCACCGCTTTGCTTGGTCCATGGATGGCTTAAGCGACCACTGCTGGATGCTCTATCAGGGAGGGAATGAGTTATAGCATGAGAAAACAAAGAAGGTGTAATAAGAGACGTGACAAAATTTCGAACAAGAAAAGGCAAAAATGCTGGATGCCGATATCATGAACTCCCCTATCAGTAGTTCACACAAACGAGATGAACAGAATTCAACATGTTCTGAATGTATGGAATTAGCAACTGGCGACAATTTAATGAGATGTGATGGAGAATGTAAACAAGGGTTTCATACAAAGTGCACTAAACTAACGATTGGTGAAGTCAAGATACTCCATCTCGTAATGTAATATGGTTTTATACGAAATGCAAACCAAATTACCAAACAAAAAGAAATGCTCTGGAGATGATACAAAAGCCAATCTGTGACCTGCAGAAGACAATGATGCATCTGATAACACACAAACTAAAAGATACTATGAAACTGTTCCTCAATTAATCACAAAATCCCATTCATCCAGAAACAAATGACAAAGAGAAGGAAGTTGAACTGAACATTTCATGAAGTCTTATGATCAAGAAAGCCAATGACATCCCAAAAAACAGCATTTCAAGTGGAAACAGAAGATATGCTGGTACCGGAGAAGGGGGAGAAAAGAAGCATTGAACCAAAAATCGGTGCAGGTCATATCCAGAATTAGATAAAGGTTTCAAGTGAACCTTTGACTACAGTCCCCAACACACCAAAATGAACACAGAAACCCCGAAAAATACATTGGAGATAATAGAAGAAAAGAAAAAAAAAAATGTTGATAGACATTGAGAAGATTAATGCCATTGAGAAGGAAAACTATTCAAACACCCAAAGAAATAAAGGAATAAGGGACATAAATGATCCAAAGTCATGCCAGATACGAGCTGATGAAAAGAATGCATGGATGTTTGTGGAAAGATTAGCCCAACAAACTAGTGAAGAAGATATAAAAGAACATCTACGCAACAATAGAATAAATGGAGAAAAATTTTGCTCAGAAATTGAGGCAAAATTTAATATTAATAAATCTGTTAAAACAGGAATCAAATTTGAGGAACTAGGCTCAATTGAATAACCTGACTTTTGGTTACAAGGAGTTGTAATGCGACCATTTCATTTTCAAAAATACAGAAGATATAATACCTGAAATGAGAGATTCATTCGTTTGACTTCACTTTTATCACTCAAAGTCTTAAATTTCTTTCTCATTAATTGTGACTTACGAGGAGGGGAGTATGTTACATTAAATTTCATTTTTTGATAAAGTAACTTTTTTAATGAAACCTTTAATTACTCGCTTCGCAAGATATCTTCAAAACTGCACTAGTTATTAATTTACAACAGTGAGTTCTAGGAATATTCCTGAGGCGAAGTTGAGAAATTCCATTATACCTTCATTTATATACCACTATCAAATTCAAACTTATGATATTATCCCCAAATGTGAAAGATGTGTAGGGAGATAAATGAATTGGAAACAAAACTTCGCCATGATTTTATCAAGAACACTTTTGTTAATCTTCCTAAAGATGACATTGTATGTGATTACTATTAAACTTACAACTTTTGTTCATAAACATATTCTGAAAATTTGGTTATGTCATTTTAAATTGCGCAATTGCCGGTATCTGCTAAAACAATTTTTTGAAATAAAATTTAAGACATGCGGATCATCCTCAATACCAACCAGAACCATCCCCACATGATGAGTAGGATCGTCTTCTGATTAATGTTGAAAGAGTTGCAGTCTAAAAGGGTGAAATTTGTCCTTCTGCAGGATATTGTGGACAATGGCCTGATAAACATTTGTGTCCAGGCCTGTTCACGAAATGGGCTTCTTTGGACTGGCATACACTTTCGTAATCACAACTTCTTGAATTGTCTCATTGTGATTTTCCCACTTGGAACAAATCTGCAGTGGAGCCTGTTGTCTTGAATTTTGCAAATAATCTTGCTGCAGATATATGGTATGATACTGGTTGGTCTTGGAGAGTACATTTTTACTAATATTTTAATGTGACTAATATTCACACCACACAACAGGATGATTTCCACTATTCATATGTCAACTGCATCCAACAAAACAATACAAACTCTTCTCACCTAGGGTGCATGACTTTTCAATCTGTACATAAAATTTCAGAAATAAGAAATTAGGTTATACTACCACCAATGTAATAAAATGGTTTTTCAGGTGATTTAAATATCCTGGTTAATTTTGTATTTTATTTTGTGTGAGCTTAGCAGCATGTACCATCTCTGCTTTGCTGAGAGTTGCATCAGTTTTCAAATTGTATTAATGCTTTTGTACTGTGAACTGTGAAAAGAAAGGGAGACACAATATAATTAATAACTGGAAACTATCTGATTGTGATGTATCTGTTAGATTGTTGTTCATTGATGTGTTGCACAGTATTCAGAATATAACTTTAAATTTCCTTTCCTTTCCAGGGAAAATTTGATTCGTGTGGCATTCCAATGCTTGCAGCTTGTGGTCACAGATTTTCTTCCAGTAATGCCTTGGAGGTGCTTGCCTTTGTGTGTAGATACTGCAGCTAAGTTTGGATCTCAAACTCAAGAATTAAATATTTCACTTACAGCAGTTGGACTAATGGTGTGTATTAAATTTTCCCTGGCAAACTAGCATTTTTCTGCACCTTGAAAATATACTATATATTCTAATATATTATAAACAATATTATATTATAATGTTATATATTATAAACAATAATACATTTTAACAATAATAAATTGTTCATAATTAATATTCTTAATGATAATATTGTTATTTCCAGTGGAATATTTCTGACTACTTTTACCAGAATCAGGAAAAGTTATGTCAATCATTATCTGGTGACACATCAGTGTTTCCTGAATTTCCAGGAACTCCAAATATGCCACCATTTGATAAACTTTGGATGTGCCTTTATGCCAGATTAGGTATATTTTGTCATACCTTTTCTCTCTTATACCACAGTATAGACAGTAAGTAATTTTCAACCATTTTATAGGTGATTTGTGTGTGGACTCACGTCCTGCTGTTCGTAAGTCCGCTGGTCAAACGCTGTTCTCAACAATATCTGCCCATGGTGGATTGCTCCATCAGCCTACTTGGCAAGCTGTTTTGTGGCAGGTAATAGCACTTTCTTGACTGTCAGTATTGACTGTGATAACCTTTTTTTCATTTGTTAACTTTCACGTGTAATACATAATTTCAGAAGCATTCTTTTAATGTTTCCTTAGCTGACATTATAAACACAGAATGGTTATTATTAGTGTAAGATGAAATAGGAACGGACATTTTTATTTCTTTCTTACTACATACTTATAAAAAGAAAGTATTGTAATACTGTGGTAGAAATCAGTGATTTTTCATCAGAAAAACGATTGTGAGGTACTGGTAAAGAAAAAGTTGTTAAATCTTGTTCTTATATGTAGGAAATAACCTCAGAATCCACGTTTTGTAAGTTCTTGAGAACTGAGAAATCTATTGAGGGCAAAACCTCTTTGTCACTCTGTTTTGTGTCTTTGTCCCTCTGTTCTTTCATGGTCAGTGCTAGTGCCTAAATTATTTTGCCATTTTTACCAAAATTGATATTCCACCATCAATCTAGAGGAACTTGAAGCCCTGGAAGTTTGAAACATGTTTTGATTTGTGGGTACATTACATGAAGCCTCAACATTATTTTCTACATTTCTTCAAAAATGGCTCCAAATTTTTTTATTAAACTTTGCCCTCAATTAGGTGGAAATAAAATATGTAAGGTATAAGAGTCATTTTCAATTAAATCTCTGTATTTTGAAAAATTGCAAAAGTTTAAAATTTTATTGGAGTCAATATTGAAGATGGAGATTTTTTCATAAATAAAATCTGTGGTTCAAAGATAGAAAATAAGGTCATGTGCAATTGTTCAGAAATATGAGTAGTTTTCGCATAATGTAATGTGATAATAGTTAATTTTGAAACAATTATTTTCTCAAACCCTGCTCCAAATTTTTTTTTTTAATTTTCTTCTGTATGTAGCAAAGGTTGTTTAGAGGAGTGGTGCTGATCCTATTTTCGGCGAATTCTTCAGTATTTTCAAAAATTGCGAAATATTAATATTACAAAAGTATAAAATTAATGAGAGAGATTATTTTCTTAAATAGAATCTGTTCTAAAAAATAAGATCTTTAAAGAAGGTCATTACATTTTTTTTTATTGGGTAGTTTTGATGTAATTTCTGTTTAAAGTTAATGCAATTTAGAAAAGAAAAAAAATTCAAAAAGAACTACTTTCTACTTTTTTTTTTTTTCATGGACAGAGTAAAGGACACTTAAAAAATGGCAAAGGTCCCATTTTCTTTGAACTCTTATTTTTCATAAATTGTATAAGTTAAAAGCAATGCAAGAAATTAATTGCTTTTTTGAGCATCAGGCGAGTTGGATTTAGCCATACTTTGGTGGTGTAGTAGTAATGTTCTTGACATGTTCATTCAAAGGACCTGAGTTCATATCTTGGTGTGGAGAAAAAAAAATTGTTGGCTAGAAACACTTTTACTAGTTCATGTAGTAGTATAATATTGTCTAGTCATTACAAAATATGCGAGAAAGCATGTGCTGTTATAGCTCTACTAGTTTAAATTATCATGTACTAGTATATACATAGTCAAGAGAAAGCTTTTTAATTTTGAAATTTTGATGGAAATACCTGTTTGGAGGGTGTATGATATTTCAAAAGTGCCCTTTTTTCTTGTAAAATGTAAGACTGTCCATCTGTCTGTGAACACTAGTACCTATACCACTCGTAGGATTTTTCCCCCAATTAGGTATTCCATGATCAATCTGACCAAATTTAAGGGTCTGCAAATTTGAAACATACCTTTCTAGGATTTTAAAGTTAATCATTTTTTGACAAAGAATGACTTTATTTTTCTTTAACCATTACAGAATTCATGATCATGATGTAATAACGGATGTATTTTACAGGATTTGGAGTGACAAGAAACAATTAAGCCATTAGTTTGCCACTGTTTGCAATCCCTACATTTTTGTTTTAAGAAACTTTTAATTTTTTCAGAAAAGTATGCATTCTTTTAAAGTGCTTACATTATGAACTCAGAATAGTTATTCTTTTTGTAAAACCATACTTACTCTTTACTCTTTTAGTGTCTTGTATCCTGGCATATACATTGTAAAGGGAAAGGTTTGTAATACTGCAACATATCCTAGGACATTTTAAAAATGTTTTCAAAAGTTACAAGTTTTTGCTTTAAATTTTTCATTCAAACAGCAAAATTTGCTTATAAATATGGTATATGTTCAAATTTTATTAAACGTCAAAATTTTCAAAAATCTCAGAAGTTAAAATATTTTTGTGTCTCTTACAATTATATTATTGAAGGTAGATTTTTGCTTAATGAAATTTGTTCTTCAAAAGTAGATCTTTAAATATTGTGTACAATTTAAACTTTGTTGCATATGTTATCATCTGTTCAAGTCAACTGCTCAAAGTGACAACCATTTGCCAAAAGATAGTCATTTACTCTTTTCAGTGTAATGGCTGCAACATGAAGAGTAACTTTAGTTTGCCTAAATTGCTGTAATGTGGTGTAACTATTCATGTCAACTTGGTTTATTTCTTCCATAAACTTTTCCCTTGTGAACATCCACAGAAAAATGTCCAATTGAGTAAGATCTAGAGAATGTGATTGTGACAGACCTTGTGAAACCATTCATTCTTAAAAACAAGTTCCTTAAATATTTCATACTTTTGTGTGTCATGTAAATCAATTTGCCAAAGTAGAATTGGACAATCATTCTTGAATAGATATTTTCTTCATTACTTTTAATAAAAAAAACAACACTTTTTTAGTCGTGGGAAATATTTTAAATTTAAAATGTGGATAAGTAGTAATTTGATAATTTTTCTTTGAATTCACATGCATATATATTAAAAGTTCGCAGTGAATCTTGTATTCAAAATTTATTCATATTAATTTTGATTTCAGGTACTTTTCCCTCTTCTTGACAAGGTCAGAAGTTTATCCAGTTCAGCAAGTAATGAAAAAGTTGACACTGGAGGTAATATATTAATTCACCACTCACGAAATACTGCTCAAAAGCAGTGGGCAGAAACACAGGTTTGTTGATTTTTTTAACTGTTCACAATGATTTAATGTTTCTGGCATTTGTTAAATTGTCTTAAAAGTAATTTAGACATTAATAAGGTACAGACATAATTAAAACCTTTAAGACAACATTTTAATCATTAAAGTCAGTTGTGATGCAAAATCAACATAAAATTTACTCTTTTTCAGGTGCTGACATTGTCGGGGGTTGCCCGTGTATTTAATACCAAGAGACAACTTTTACAAACTTTGGGAGATTTCCTAAGAGCTTGGTCATTACTTTTGGAGTTCATTGAAAATGCAGCATTAAGCAAAAACAATGAGGTAATTTTTTATTATTGAATTTCATTGATCAGATCATGTACATAAAATTGGAATAAGCCAATAATTGTAATGTTACTAAAATTAGAAGAGAGGCAGAGCTTGAAGGTGTAATGTGATGTTAATCTTTCTCATTCAGAAATTCATGGAAATGCTCTATTTTGACATTTCTGCACATCTCTAGATTCCACATTAACAGTGGCACAACCAGGACTTTTTGGGAAGGGGCAACTGGTGTGGAGGCTTGTTTTGTAATAAATAGGATTTGGATTTTTGTGCAATTGTTTATTTCTTCTGCTTAGTCATAAATGTCCAGAGTTCTCTGTTCTATCTGAATTGGAGTCCATAGATACTTATATTCATGTTTTATTTTGCATATTTAAGGTACACATATTTTTTCTCTCTTTTGGATTTATTTTCTATTCGTGAAAATCTATCAATGAAGAACATCAAGTTACTCAGATTGACATCTCTTGAATTAATTTCATTTCTTTCTTTTCTTTTTTTTATTCCCTTGAACACTATGCCCTGTGATGCAAAGGAACAATTACATGACTAAGATGAGCACAAGTAAGGCAAGTAACACACAAGTAAGCATAAGCATGAGTAACAATATACTGTGTTTAATCACAGGCCTACTTCCTGTTTAACAGAAAGAGGACCTCACTCAAATCGTATTCTTTGAACATCAATTTTTGAACGGATTTAAATTTGCACCCATTCTCTAGCATGGACTCCAAATGTTCATTTTGAGTTTACAAAAACAACCTAATGCATTGTGCCGTCACAGATTTAATCAAGAACATTTTGAAATGTATTTGTTTGGTAATATAAATAATAAGAAAGTTGCTATAAACCTTCTTTTTATTATTTTATTACTTATTTTCTTAAATGTACATTTTAGTAAATTTGTTTTTACAACATCTCACAATGTAATTAATTAAATCCAACAATTTCTGCTTCTTTTAGGAGATATTCAGATATGGGAGGGTAGTGTTTTTATGTGTTTTCCTTAATTTTAACTGCATATTTTTGCATATTTATTTAGTTTTTACTGCACATTTTGGCATTTTATACTGTATAAAAATACAATCCCTGTATTATTTTCATATATTTATTGGTAATTGATAAAAGCTTGTATTGTCTGAATCATTATTAGATTTTTTTTTTGGTCTAGGATTTAAAATTTTCTCCACTTTTGTAAAATATTTTTGTCTGAATTGTTTCTGGTATACCCAGTTTTAACCTCTAAACTGAGCCAAGTGTACAAATTTCAGAAATGTAGTGATACAACACAAGTTTGTATTTTGTCTCGTGACTAACATTTGGCTCAAAAAATTAATGTTTTATATATTTATTTTCAATCAGGTCTCCTTGGCAGCATTGAAAGCATTCCAAGAAATTTTATATCTCAATAAAGGCAGTGATGGTAATCTCACACAGTCAGGAGTTAGTGGTATATCTGTTGCAAGTAGTGAAGAACCTAATATTTGGGGAGTAGCTTGGAGAGTGTGGTTAAGTATTGGAGCAGAGAGCACAACTCCTCCAGGGGATATGGATATTCGAGAGGAACTTTATATTCCTTCCCAGCCGTTTCTCACTGCTCTGATACAGATTTTTCCAGCTGTGTTCCAACATATAAGAACAAAGTAAGTTTAAGTAAATTAATGTCAAATGAGTGTTGCCCTTGCAAACGTAATATTAATGTTTAGCAATAAAATTAATTTCTATTATAGTTAATTGAATCTTTCAATCAGAGAATGGTCAGTGTTGCACACATCTGCTTTTCACATGAGCCAAAAATGAGATGTATTCAAGGCAGCAAGTTTAGGTATCAAGGTAGAGACACCAAAGCAGTTTCATAGATTTATTTTCGTACTTCATTAGCAAATATTTTGATGGTTTTTAATTATTTCTTAATTTTTTTTAATGTCAATAAAAAAAGGTATGTCTTTCATTAAAACAATTGATTTTTATTCAAAATATTCTAAATTTGAAGAAATAAAAAAAAAGTTCAGATGAAACTAAGTAGGTACTAAGGGAATGCTGTACATTAATTACAACATTAATATGATTTTTCTTAAACGTTTACACTTTGTTAAGAAAGCAATTTTTATTTTTCTTAAATATTTCTAATTCATAGTAGCATTGTTGCTGTCCATTTTGTGGACTGCAAAGTTATAGCAGCTGAGCTGACTGGTAAAATTATAAGAATATCAGAATTAGTTAATCTGAGATGGAACGGAGCTTGTTGTCTATTAACATAAGTAACAATGTTAGAATGTTTATTTTCATTATAATTTGGATGGTAATGTCAATGAATCAATATCCTTCCATTCTCCCATGCCTGGTCCTACTTTAATTCCCTCACTTGGGGATGAGATAGATGTGACAGGCACTGTAACTAGCAAACTCGGCCTGCCTGAGCTTTTATTCATCAAACAACTACAAAAACAGACGATTTTAAAGGAAAGCTACAATTCTATTTTTGCCCCGACCAGGAATTAAACCCAGGTTCGCACCATGGGAAGCTAGTACACTGCCCTTGAGCCACCTTAGGGCTTCATATATTTTGTATGCTTATTAGTTTTCTGAAGATTGGTCAAATATTACCCAAGTCCTTTATTTTCTCTGAAAGTCAAGAATTCTGTCCTAAAGTGTATATTGAAAATAAATATAGGTGTTGTGGTAAGATATCTTTGGCATTTTTAAAATAATTAAAGATGTTGTCATCAGCTTTCGATGGCTTAGCCATCATCATCAGTTGTCTGCTAGATGGAAGCCACAAAACGACTACGCTACTTTGGTATTAGTGCTATATCTTCTTGCTCTTTGTGATTACACCCTGGCAACTAAGATAACATTTCTTTAATGTCAGAAAACTATGAATATTAGTGTAAAGTATGGGGGAAGAGCAATGTAAATTACTTAAAAGAATATTTTTTATTTGATGAGAATGACACTATAATATTTGCATTAGAATGGAGTGTTCTAAATAAGATTTCTGTAAATTTTCTGTATACCTCTTATTTATGTTATACTTCTTATGATCTTAGATTCACTAGTGGAGATCTACAGAAGTTATGTGGTGTTCTTCAAAATGCAGTAGCTGTTCCAGTTCATGGGGAAGCATCTCCCTTTATTTTACCATCTGTGAATGATGTTGTTCTTACACAACTTCAAGAAGGTGTTCTACACTCAATGGAACTTCTCCAGAAGGTGCATATGTAGTGTGATTTTTGCATTCTTGTAATAAAAACAGTTAACTTTCTGTCAGATGCTCTTGAATTATTTTGTCCATTTTTTTCAAAGCACAATACTAGTCGCTCTTTCATTTTAAATTTGAATCATATTAATTTCAATTAGAATACCACTTAAAACATTAATATAATTATTGCGCATGTAAAAATTCCCATGTGTAATGAATGCCATTCTACAGGAGAGACATAAATCACTCACAAATAATTATTTTTCTTTGTATCTCACGTGTTGATTCACCATTATATTTTCTGCAATTAAGATACCAATTCTAAGACATTTCTTGATCCTTAAAGGGCACCTAACTTACTTTCGTAAATAATGCCTGTGGCCAGATGCAATAATATTTATCTTTATTCCATTCTTTCTTTATATGTTGTAAATCTCAATGAGGTTTTGTTACTTATATTGCTGTTGCTACAATATTAATATTTTCTAGGAGGCATTGTCTGGAACTGAAAATATGAAGTCAATGCTAGCTGCTATATTTCAGCAGTTGCTAGCTTTTAGTAAGTTTGCTTGTCAAGCTCCACCATATGGGAAATTGGAAACAAAAAATATTTCACAAATGAGAGGAATTTCAGTATGTAACACTAAATCATTACTTCATTTTATTGTTGTTATATTTTTTAATTCTGTTCTTTATATCAAATATGTTTTTTTTATTTTCAGACGGATTGGGTCACAATGAATTATGTTCCGTTTGGTGAAAAAGCTTTGAATATGGTGGTGAACTTGTATGAAAATACAGCTCATGACATGTCTGTGATACAAGCCAATGTGCTGCAAAATATAATTGAGGTACTGTGCTGAGTTTAAACAATGTAATACATTTTCTCTGTGTAGGTGACATTTAATAAATTAAGGGATATCTTTCTTCTTTCCTTCTTGGTAGTTGGTCATTAAAACATTTTGTAAAGAGGAATATGGTAATTAGTTACTATAAACACGTTAGATATAATATTTCTTCTTTCTGATGACTTGTAGATCGATACATCAAGGCAGTTGCAGATGATCAAATAGTCTGGACTGTAACTGCTGCTGATGGACATTAGCAACTTTTAATTTATTAAATACAAATATTATATTTGCAAAGACAGTACAGCAAAGCATTAGTGATAATATAGTTTAGCATGGTCATAATTATGCTTTGCTTCACTGAGACTTTTTGTACTGGGTTTTATTTTTCCTCACTGATATTATTGTGTAATTACAGATCTTTGGGGCATTAGTCTAGTAAGTCATTTTTTAGTCTCTTTTTCAGGCATGTACATTTAGAGTAACATTCTTCCAATACAGGCTTTTTAATATTATTTTATGTAAGCGTTAAGGAATGAAAGCAATTTGTCAAATTATTGCATTTGTGAGATATTTGTGTAATGTTTTCTTGGTTTCGAAATATTGAGTCTGGATTTTATTAAAATAAACATAATTAATTAAATATTTAATAATTTGTTTTGTGTTATGTCTGTTTTTTGTATTGGAAAATATTGTAAAAGAATTAAAATTTGTAATGTTGTAAGTCTGGATTTGTTTTAATTTATAATTCTATTAAAAAACTCTGTAGTTAAACACTGTTCACCCTCAAGTCTTATTTTATAAATAACCTTTAGGCATAAATGAAATGAAGTTACAATGAAAATCTTCTCCACACCAATAAAAGTCCATAGTAAAGTGCATATATTTTACTGCTAAATATGGCTAGTGATAGGATAAATACTGCTAAATATGTCTAGGATAGTGGTTAATTTACACTTTAGTGAGACGGTGTGGATAAAGCTGTATGAATGACAATGAACAGATTATTTTGAACTTCGTCTAGCTGACATTGCCATTAGCTACAGGGTGCTGGCTGTAGTAAGGTGATTGTTGGTGTGTGATGTTTTGTGCGTTTGCAAGATGTACTTGGCATAAAATTGCATTGGGAATTAAGTGCACAGACTCAAGGTTCTTTTATATAAATGGGGAAGGCTGAAGGCCAGAGCCTCGTTTCCAACTCACAGATGTTGACAAAGCATCATCTTAGGTATATCATGAGTCTTAGGTTAGGTCAGGTGGTAAGTGTAAATAGTAATATATGATATTCACAGTGGAACTCAAAACTACACACTGCATCTCTCCCACCAGCAGTCTGATCCCTGTTTATGATGTATTATATACTATTCCTCTTCACTATATCTTACCCTATATCACCTACCCTAGCCACCTTGCATTGTCTAATGTACACTTTATATGGATAAAGTTCAAAGAATGTGTCAAATCTATTCCTGCTTCAGTCTGTATTGACGTGTTTTGGATAGCGTGTTGTGAACATTCATCAGCTAATTCAGGAATTACCCTGAGCTGGATTTTAGCTGTAATATGTATAATCAGTTTCAATCTTGGTAATTTGTAACAGAAGAAATGTACTTTTGATAATTGAAATAGAATCACTTCTAATAAAGAGTAAAGTGGTCTATATTGACCATCTCATACATTACCAAGTCAGAAAACCTCATAAACCTCTTTCTTAATGTTTTTAATGATTTATTTTTTGCATTTTGCTTTCTTGTCCACCAAGTGTGTGTGTGTGTGGTGTTATTTGTTTTGTTTTTTAATGTGAAAAGTAATACCTCTTTGTGTACCCTATGTCTATTGTTCCTTGGTTTTAATATATTGTAATTTCGTATTAGATGTATTACAATTTTGTCATTGTAAAGTTCAGAAGAGTCTAAGTGATTGATTTTTAGAAGGTGATTCAGGCTTGCACAGGGTGAATTTTAGTTGTATTATACTTTTGAATTACATGAAATATCAAACTTTCTAAGGTTGTGAAATGGTGTGCAGTCTCAATCGTATAAATTAACATCTAGTACCTACTCCTTCTGTATCATTATTGAGAAATTGTTATTTTTTCCTTTTTAATTCAGATTACACACCAACGATGCGTCAAACTAACTTGAATCATGATACCATAAGAGTGTGATGTAAATGAAATTGTAGTAAAAAAATACTGATTATGTCTACAACGTAAAATTTTTAAAGTGAAGAAAATTTCTGATACTGGAAACTGTTTCTTTGACTCTTCAGTCACTTAAACAACTTTACAAGATATATAAAAACACTCAAATTTGTTTGTTTGAAACATGAAATTGCAAAACATCTATGACAATTTTTTGTGTTCTGAATTATATCATCTTTCATAGAGGCACGAAAGGCTCAGACACACTGCAATTTAATAAAGCCATAAAATTAAACACAGATATTGTAGGAATATAGCGTACATTGCTTTAGAATTCATTACAACTTGAAAATATTTTAAGGAAGTTTTAGTGTTTATTTTTGAAATCAGTTGGGATTAATTATTTTTTTAAGAAAGTTGTTTGTGTTTCTTTGAATTGTAGATGTATTGAATATGTTATGTAATAAGGTTATGGGAGGTGGCTATGTTTACGTACCTTGTAAATATATGATATGTTGAAAAATTGTCTTATTATTTAATATCTGAAAAGCATATTTTGTGGTTTGTTCCTTTAGGCTTTACATGTACCGTTATCCATGAAATATGGTTGCCCATCAGCCAGTACTTGGAAGCTTGCTGTGACTAGTCTGCTAACTGTTCTGCAAACTGGACTTCCTCTAGCTCGAAAATATCCTCAACATTTTGAGAAAATGTGGCTTCAACTTGCAGAAACTCTGGATCAATTTCTTTTTCCTAAAAGGTATAATTTAATTTTGTGCATTATAAAGGATTAATTTATTTCAATATATGAACAGTGAAACATGACAATTTCTTCATTAAATGTTTCTACGTGGTCATAAACATCATTGTGTATGTTGCTTATGAATTGGAATCTCTTAATCTGAAAATTATATGTTTGGTAAATAATATTTCACTTCATTCATTCAATATGCAAGTGTTTTGCATTGAGTGTGAGATTGACTTATCAACATCTGTGAATTCATCACTAGCAAAAAATAAATTACTTACAGACTTTAGTTAATTAATTGTAATAAAACTTTCATATTTAATATTGTATTGGGTGAATGCTTGTAATTACAAATAAATTGAATAATAAAATTGAGCTAACTTTCCGTGTATTTGGGATTAAATTTTATTTAAATGTTGTCCAGCCCCTTTTTTTAAATTTTGGTCAACCACAGTAAATACTTCCTAAAATTGTGGTTGTCCAAAATTTAAAAAAGGGGCTGAACAACATTTAAATAGAATTATCTGTAACAACCAATTTAAAACTTAATCTTAATTGTTAAATTTTATTGTCTTTCTCATTGTTGTTAATTTAGTATTTTGAAAGCTTCAGTTTGTCATCCTTATGTATCTGGTTCAATGCTTTTTTACAAATCTTTTCGTGACTCTCTTCTGACTTTTCTCTTATCTAATACTGTTGTTCATTTGAATCGATGCCAGCAAAAAGGTGTTGCCAATTCAATACCACATTTATTTCAGATTTTGAGTTAACGATGGAAAACTGGTCTTAATACGTAAATACAATTTTTCTGCACCTTTACTTTACTACATATAAGTCATTGTCTGAGGCTTCTGTGATGACTGTAGGAGGTTCTTCAACTTTTAGTGGCAAGCAAAAATGTTTTATGTCCAGCACTTACAACCTCTTTGCTCTCCAAAAGTTGAAGCTCCTGGGCATTGAACATTTTTGGTTTCTTTCATTCATTTGCATTCCAGACAGTTCTTGTCTGAATTTGCATTCATATATCTCAAATATGCCCTCTCTTATCATTTATAATATTTTCTAGTTGATTATTTTATGTTGGTAACTTTTGTTTATGAATTTAGTTTTTGTTCCTAGAACTTCCTCTGTAGTTTGTTTCAGTTTCGTTATTCATTTCCCTTTAGTGTAAAATCTCATCCATTCTCTTTCAAAGTATTGACTTTCTACCATTCTCCAACAATTGTATTATAAATACTTTTTCTTTGTTTTGTTTTGTTTTATATTTGTTGTGGTTCCATCTTTTTAAAACTAGAGAGTAACAATCTATTTTGTTTTTAAAATATTTTTTTACTTGTATGGCTATAAATGCTAGAGTTCTTTTTGTTTGGTCAGCACCACTATAGTATATTAAATACTCAGTTCTGCAAATTCTCTTAGTTTCTTTTTTAGCAATATTAGTGTAAAACCTACTTTTTCTCATGTTAACTCTAATTCTGTTCCTTTGTGATAAAGACTTCTATTGTATATTGTAATATGAATTTTCCTTTTCCTGTTCATAATCCTACTTCATAATTCTATTATGCTTCTTTCAACATTTTATCAGTCTTCAACTTTTTATTAGTCTTACTGAGTGCTTATAATTTGCCTGTAGTAAATAAGTGTCCCCTGGCCATGTTATGGGTGCTGCTCAGGGTAAAGCATAGGATTGCCAATCTCCCAACCTCTGGCTTGCGTGCTGAAAGAGAAAAAAGGGGAGGGGAGGAAACGTTCTAAGATGGGTACAAGTAGCCCATGAGCTGCTCTGTCCACCCTTGGACTCCCAGGGTTGAGTGGTGTTGGAAGAGATTTCTATGCAGGAATGGAAAGAAAACTTATTAGAAAATGATTTAGGATAGGAGCAAGAGTGGTGGAGTGTCTGGGTTCAAATCATGAAAGATGGAGTAACTTACATAGGTTGGAACAGCTGTTTGGATTCACCTCCAGAGATGGGGGAGGTCCATTGGTGCTATTCTAGAAAAAATCCCCAGATTACCACATGTGCTAATAATGCTATGTGTGCTATTAATTTTATTACAATGTAAAAGTGTCTACACTTGATAGCAGTTTATCTGCTGTATAAGCATTAGGTACTTCTTGGCAGGGAAAACACAGTGTGGTGTAACTTCTAGTTAGGAACTTCCATGGTTATAAAAAACCATACATATTATCATACATATAAATCCTTTTCAAACTGAAAACAAATTATTATACCCATAAAAACTGATTTATAGATTAGAAACCTGTCACATAGTAACGTCAGTCTCTTAATTTAGTAACAATGAAAAAAGGTTTTGTGGGGCTGATTGAATTGACTATTTGCAGTTTTTGTTATTTCATGAGAGGTCACTCTTTCAATATTTTTATCATTTTAGCTTTCCAACGATGGAGCAGTGCCCTGAAGAAATCCAAGCAGATGAAGCTGTTGATTGCCAAGTAATTGAATTACTTCGTGATGAAGTATTGCCACATTCCCATACTATCCCTAAGGAGTTTGTTCTAAAAGTTGTGGTGCTTCTTAATAAGGGATCAATTCATTCAGCTGGCAGTAGGACAAGTACAGGTATGTGTAATAGTAAGCATTTATAACTATGGGAGTTGAACGTAATTGAAAATATTTTAATATACTTTTATTGAATTTTTATTCACATAGCTTGAACATATATTGTTTATCATAACCGTACATAACAATTTTATGTTGTTTGTCAGTAGACTTTGAGGCATTGAAAACAAAAACTGAAAGTTTAAATTGTGAACAAAATTTAATAAATGAAGAATTTGTTTTCAAAAAATGTAATAATTTACGGAATAATAGCAGATATGGGATTGTTTGCTGGCATCATAGACCAATTCTTTCAACATTACATTATTTTCTACATTACCTAAAATTTAAGCTCTGATTTCCCATTCCCACTTACCTTTTCTAATTACATGGTTATTCCATCTCATTGCCTTGTTTGAGATAAATATTTATAGTTGTTTGAAATTCAAATTCTAAATACCAAAAAAAAATCCAAAATAGTTAATCTTCACTTTTTTTTTACAGATTGTGAAAACGAACAAAAATTACGAGAAGAGTTTGCAAAAACTTGTTTTGAAACATTGCTGCAGTTTTCTTTGTTGGATGGCATAGTATCTGAGGATGGAAATGCCGGAGGTGGTGAAGGTGGCTTAGCTGGACGGCTAGCAGTGACAGCATTACTTCATCGATTCCAGGAAGTTCTTCGTCAGTATGTGGAGGATGAACGTCGCAGTGGCAAATGCCCCTTGCCTAGGTATTTTCCTTATTATCCTTTATGCAAAATAATGTTCTGTCATATTTCAACCATGTTGGTTCACATGGAAATTCACATTTCTTGTTCAACCTGGTTCCCTTGTTCAAATCATTGTGCTTTCTAACAAACTCTTGTTAAATAATCCACTATAATATTAAATATTACATTGCTTTATAAATGTTGCAATCTTTTAATTACATTTATGAAATTTGTCCATTGACACATGGACACTCAATTCTGTCATTTCGATGGCTATGTCATGCCACAAAACATGAGAAAGATGAAATTAGACCCTTGAGGAAGATCAATGCATTAAATGATGTTGATTTTATGGATATTGAGATAAGACTGAGTAGTCTTGACATCAACTCAACATCTGGTACAGATGGAATTCTTTCAATCGTGCTTAGGATCTGTCACTGCCACTTATATGACTCCAGTTCTGAGAAAAAATGTCTGAGAAATCACTGGTGTCAAGTTCAGTTCTGAATGTACGAACAGTGCAATCATTATGCCCATCAAGAAGGATGACAAAAAATCTCCAACAAACTATAGGCCTATCAGCCTGACCTGTCTGATGAGGAAGGTAATGGAGAAAACTGTCTCCTGAAGAATAAAAAGATTAACAGAAATATAGGGGTCGGGCCAAATAATATTAATACCAGGCAATATAGTACATCTTTATGCATGTTGGTACTGTAGATATGTATACTCTGCGACACAGCTGCATTGCACAGTTGTTGTGAGGTTTTGAAGGTTATATTCCTTTGTTCTGCGATGGTGAATGACAGCAATCAGTGAAATGTGTTTTCTCTCAGACTTCAAAAGAGGGCAAATTGTTCATGGGCAGTTAATGGGAGCATTTGAGTAAAAACAGTGAACTGTTTAACATTTCCCGAGCGACAGTATCTAGGGTAATGCCAGCATACACAAAGTATGGTAAAGCATCAACAGCAAAGAAGAATAATGGGTGAAAGACAAACCAACCAGAGACTGACAAACGTTGAAAAGGATTGTGTCCAGATGATGTAAAACTACCATGGCAAAATTGACTGCAGAACTCAACATTCTCTCAAGTAATAATGTTTCCACAAAAACAGTATGGCAGGAGCTTCACAAAGCTAACATTCATGGAAGGGTGGCAATTACAAAACTCTTCACAACAGAAGCCATCACGGTGCTGTGAAAGAAGTAGGTCTACAATCATAAAACCGGGACACTTGATGACTGAAAGAATGTGGTATGGTTCGATGAATCAGTTTCCTACAAATGGCCAGATGTATATACCTCTAGAGAACCCCAAAACAAGCCAACTCGCCTGCTTTCTTCAGTCAAGCAATGGGGAGAGGTTCCATTACGATTTTAGTGACTATATCGGGTTATTTAGCTGGTCCTATCATTATCCGCCCTGGCTGGTTAACTGCAAATGAATAACTCAACGTCCTCAACAAGGAAATGCTTCCAATGACTTGCATATTGTAGGCAAACACTGCCATACTCAAAGATAATGCGCTCATACACACAGTAAAAAAGGTTCAGGCATTGTTTGTTGAGCATGGAAATATCATTGGATATCTTCCCTGGCTAGCACAATTGAGAGACCTCAACATAAGTGAACCTTTATGGGGCATTTTAGAGCAGAGAATGGGGAGCAGATTTTCAGCTCCAACATCGTTGAAGCAATTGACAAATGTTTTGTTACAAGAATGGGAGAACATTCCATTGAAAATTATTCAGACACTCTACAAATCTATTCCTTAAAGAATTGTAGCTGTTCCAAAAGCAAATGGTGTCTCAACAACTTATTAATAAATAAATATGACATGTTATTTTGCCCAACCGTTTATCTCTCACCAATAACATGGCTCTGAACAGTCAACTGTGACAAACTTGCCGAGTTCCTCAGGGTTAGATGACAGACCTAATGGAAGAAGGACAGCCAATGAGTACTGTTTATGTGGATGTGCAAATGCCTTTAACAATGTGCCACATAAGCAATATATATCAAGCTGCAATGCCTTGGGACAGGGCAAGGAAAGGTACAGACATGATTTTCAGAATACCTGGCTGTCAGAACCTTCCATGTTCAAATTGGCAACAAGTTGTACATGGCAAGCCCAGTTTCTAGCCATGTTCAACAAGGATCAGTGCTGAAACCAACATTGTTTATTTCATATATCTATGATTTAGGGAGAGATGTAAAATCAAATTGAAATTGTTTTGCAGACAATACATTCATTTCTGCCAATCCACTACCATCACACAAACAACTTCAGGATGACCTGAAAACAATAGAAACTCAATCAGACAATTAGTTTTTATCTTTAAACAGTTCTGAATATGTGTCAAGATGTTACACCACTGGAAAGGGAACCCCAAAATGCAATATGTAATTGGAGATAACATTGTCTTATCTACCGAGACTCGGAATGACCTGGATGTGATTGTATCTCAGGACCATAAATATGAGAAATAAGTAATTGCCATCACCAAAAAGGCAAATATTATTAGATATTAATTGAAGTATTTATCTGTAAGTAATTTTTTTTTTCATTGTTGGCTTATATAGAAAAGCAAAATGAAATTTTCACATTCTCATTTTTAATTAAATCTTCAAATACACAATGTTTTGACAATTTTGATATATTGTTGTTTTCCGACTGAAACAAATTTATTACAAAAATCAATTGAATAAAATACTACATACATTCCTTAAAAAATACAAATTACATCTTATTGACCTTTGAAGTAATTTCCGATTTTTTGCAACTCATATTTATTGGATATTGTAACGCCCTGTGTGTGTGTGGTAGAGAGTGTGCTGTATGACCTGCTGCATGACATTCAAAATTTTCGTTACAAACAAGTTGCAAAAATATCAGTATTAAAAGAGCTAAAAGCTTTCATTAATTTCCCAGCTCTAATTATAACTGTTTCTATACATTTATAGGCTGTATTGAGCATCAAAAAGGAAAGTAATATTGATTTTAACAATGCTATTCAATGCATTAGTTACCATTTGCAATGTATAATTCTAAATGATTAAATGTGTAACAAGTATTGTTCCTCAGCTTCAGGGTCAATGAACCCCCATTTTGGTGAGATTTTTTGTCCAGTTCCCTTCATCTATTGAGCTGATGCGGAAATGGCCCTCTGTTTTGCTTCTGGACATTAATATAGCTTCGTTATATTCATACTTATTCTGATAATCATCCTCCATGGCAGTAAGTTAGTTCCTTCACGTAGGGCACGCTAAGGGTTAAGAGCCAAAATCTATAGATCATTTGCTGACAGCTAGTTTTTATTGCGTAAGGGTGAATATTCTTTTAGTATTAAATCTTGCTGCCTGCATTCGTAGTTAAACTTATTGTAGTATAAAAGTAGGGATAGTGGAAGGTAGGGATCTTAAAGCTCAAGTAAACATGCACAGATGGTATTTCTCCCCTACAGAATGTACTTCAACACAGTTTTAACTGTTTTTTGACATTAATTTTTTTGAAATAAGTAAAAAAAGATCAGTTTTATTTGTAGAAATAATACAAGTTGTCTTCAGTGAAAAAAAACTTCTTATAGAGTTCAGCTTATCTGAAGTGTTGATATTCATCATCACAACAGCAAAATAAAGCGTTATTGTTGTAATATCATGCAATGGTATACAACAAATGAGCGAGAAGTATCCACAACAATATTCTGTCTCATGTCCTTCTATTTGCTTTGAAACAGATCTTTTTTGTTTATTTTGAAGAAGTGCTTTTTACCATTCCCTCAGAACACTGGGTAGCTAACACACTGAGGAAATTGGATTAGTGTCCTTCTTGATAAAGAAGATGAATACTATTGTATAATAAAAAATGATCTGCAGGTATCACACTCTCACTAACAAACATGTTCTGGTGCTCATCAGCAGGTAAGGAAATTAACCATTGATATAATCTACTAGGAAAAGCGTTCTGAAAGAATTATATATTACAGTACAAGTATGTTTGTTCAGATGATGTTGGAGATACCCGATGGTAATGCTTTTCAAGTCTAATGTGTTAAGAAACAATAAATTCTTTGGGCATTCATAAGGAGGTTATTGGAGAAAAGTTGGTGAAAAATATATTTTAACATGCTTAAAATTGAAAAAGTCGCAAGAACAAACGAAGCCAAGTACATATGACAAGAACTCATGTTAGGCATATGGATCTGGGCAAAATATCTAAACCTAGGTGTATGAAATGTGCTACATAAACAGTGTGTGCTGCATATACTATATGCTACATGTATGTAGGCTTTGCAGTGGATACCTTGAATACTCGTGTAAGCTTTGTTCTCCAATTTTGTTTTTATTTTCATTGCATAAGTGGAAGGCTCTGCATTTAGTGCAGTTAGTAAAATGAGATAAGAAAAAGATTGTTAATCAAAGTTCATATATATTTTTAGTATATTATAATTCCCAAAATTGCGCAAATCCCCTTTAAAATACATCAACCATCCCACAGACAGCCCACAGACTTTCTAGGTCCTCCCAACAGTAAGACATTCAAGTGTTAACACATTGCACACTGATGCCATAGACTGTAGCCTATTCAAAATTCTCAGCTTTATTTTAGTGATAGACACTGTAGTTCAGGCTACTACATGAATTGAATTTTGAACTTCCAAAGCGCATCTCATAATTTAAAACATTAATAATTACATTTATTTTAATGTAATATTAGAAAAATAATTTTTCTACAAGCACATTACCTCATTTGCAAATTACCTCGATTCCCTTATGACACTTACCACTATTGTATCCCATAGATAAAATTATGTTATCTAAAGAAAGTTCTTAAATGTTTTGTATGAAGCATTTTTAAACATGTAAAGGAAACACAAACTATTATTTTTTTCATGGGTGTCATTGCCACAATCTCCACCGACACTAGTAAAGTGTCAACGTCCTGAAAATGATTGATACTTGCCATCTCGCACATATTCGCACATATTAAGAATTTCTCATTAGTGGAATTCATCTCTATATGTCATACAAAATAACATACTGCCTATACAACCAACCTCATGCCACCATCTTCCAAAAGTTGCTGTGCTCACATGTATCTTTTTTTGGATGGAATCAAAGAAAAATGAAAATTTGTGAATTGATGGATCTGGAGTGCAAATTACTACAGTACTCCTGTTCAGAACTGTCAGAACTTTAGCTTGCCAATGTGCATTGGAATAACAATGCACTCGCTGTTTGTAAAAACATAAATGACTTCCCTAAAAGTCCACATCAGCACATTGAGTTTTGGAAACTCGTCTTAAGTTGCAGTGTATCAGTAAATAGGTTATGACAAAATCAAACAATTACAAAAAGCACTTTCTAAGGGCATTTATCCTTCATAGGTCAAAATGTTTAAAAAATTATTTATTGCTAATATTAAAAGGAACCCTGGTGTTTGTTTCTTTGTCTGATACATCTCACCTTGTATATATATATATATACATATATATATATATATATATATATATATATATATATATATATATATATATATATATATATGTATATCACAGGACCAATACTTATGTTTTCCCAAATAAAATCAGGTAATAAAAAAAAAATTATTTTTTGCTCCAGCACTACTGTGCTTTCTCTACACTAAAAAGGATGTGAGAAAGTAAAAAAGGAAGTAAACTTTTTGGAGTACTGGAAAAATATTTTAACGATGTACAACCTACCTCATGCCACCATTTTCCTAAAGTTACTGTGCTCACATGTAGTTGTACACCAGGAAAATCTTTTAAGACCTAAATGGCAAAATCTTCACTACGTTTGCTTAGTGCAATACATATTTTTCAATTATTTACTTCCTGAGATGTATCATGCTTTTCTAATTATTAAAATAAAAGGAAAGTTTGAATTAAAACCAATAATTTAAGAATAACTTGCATACTATGTGTTACTTCTGATAAATGCACATAAGTTAAAATAATATTAATAATAATAATAATAATAATAATAATAATAATAATAATAATAATAATAATGTAATATTTTTGCTTATTATTTGTTTATATTATGTATTTATTAATTCTAGCAAATAATGTTACACTTCCTACAGAGTTTAATGAATGACGTACATTCTGTTCATTTAATAATGAGTAACCGTGAACATTATTCATTGTAATTATAATGATGGTTGAAAATTATTGTGTAGTTAGCATACAGAAAAACATGTAAGAATAATATTTTCTTGTGTTTTAGGTACAGATTATCTGAAATTTCTTTTGTCTTGAAAGCTGTAGCCACATTAGTTGTGTCATTGAAAAAGGCATCTCCTGGGAAAGGTAATAGTTTCTTTAATTCTTAACATTTTCATTTTTTTAATCTCATTTAAGCAACCATTTAGTTGGAGTGAGACAAAGTTCATTCCAGGTATAGAGTAAGTTAAAAAGATGTGTGAAAGGACATAAGCACTGACTTTGTGAAAATATTAGTAGTTTTTGTGTAATTTTGCATGAATTATATGCAATTTTAAAGTTTGTTCTAAACAATTTTTTCTCAAAAACCGCTTCAATTTTTTCTTTAATTTTTTTCACCATGGTACAAGAAACTATGTTTAAAGGAATGGGTCTGGTTTTCATTGAACTCTTGAGTTTTCACAAATTGCATATTTAGAATTAATGCAAAAAAGCATGTGCTGTTGTAGCACCACTAGTCTTCTGAATATAATAGTTTATGTGAAAATCAAATGCACCTACATTTTGAGTAATGGGCATGTTCATCTCCATCAATCAGATTTCTATAATTAATTAATGTGAAACATGATTTCTGTTAATTTAAGAGAAAAATATTGTGTTCCCTCATTCTTGACTCTGCTAAACTTTTTGGTTTGTTAGTCTTGCTGTGTATGTTCTTCTAGCATAGATGATTGTAATAAAAGCTTTAATTTTTTTACTGGGGTATCCATATTATTGACTCATTAGACATGAAAATTACAGAAATCAATATATTGAAACGCATTTGATTAGTTGACCAATTTTAGTACTTCAAGGATTTTGTTTGTTTGTTGTTTTAATTCAGAAACTTTAATTTTGAAAATGATATGTGAAGTAAGTGTGTCGTATCAAGTAATTGTAAGTCAATCGTATTGAAAAGTTATTCAAATTCAAAGTTTCTCAAAAACCAGGATATAACACTATCTTCCATTTCACTATGAGAAATACAAATTGTAAATTTTTCTTTATTCTGTCATGTTTGTGTATTATCATTGTATATTGATGAGATTCCTGTAATGATTGCAGTGGACCGATCATCATGGGAACAGTTGATTGGACTCTATCCTTACTTGGTTGACTGCACGACTACTGCATCAGCACAAGTGTCACAGTCTCTGCGTGAAGCATTGTTACAGTATTGTGATTTGTTACAGCCTCCGCTTGGCTATCCTAATGGTGTGTGAGTCACAGGGTGAAAATTTCATGCATTCTCCACGTGGCTGACAATGCCAATGTTGAAAAAATGTGCCAGCATCAACATTGTTAAGTTAAATTGTTCTCTTACAAGAATTCTGTTTGATATTTGAATTACAAGAGGAAATTATAGGATGTTAGATATTACAATGCATTTACTCTGCATTGAAAAGCTCACAAATTACCAGTGATGACTGAAGTTGTTTGCAATAACTGATCAAAAACTGAAAAGATCTGTATTATATAACTATAGAATAATATGTTACAGTAAACTATACAAGACTTACAAATGGTCTTGGTTTGTATTATTCATCCTCTCTGTGAGGAGGTATATTTCTGCCAGGGCAGACTTCTAGGGTGATACTGCGTGGTTTAAAATGTGTGTGTGAGTGTATTACACAATTTCAGTGAGGAAATAGACTGATATTGCTCATTACAGTACAAGTTATGTTCAGTGAGTTTTGATTTGTATGTATATGCAGTAATATTAATTGAACTAGAACAACACATAATATATCTGATAGCCAAAACTGTGGGTACTTGTGAGAAAATATTTTCGTATAATATTTGAAGTGTACTTGTTGAATTAATTTAAGAAACACAGTAGAAACATAAGTTACCAGAGTCTTTCTTCAAGAATGTTACATTCAGGGAAAAGTGAAGTGGGTGATGCCCTTGTAAAGGTATCTGAATCATTCTTCTGGTACTTTGTTGACTGTGGGAACAATATTTTAAAACATTGGAACATTCATAGTGTAAAACCATTACTATTATAGTGTGAATGTTTTAAAAGTGTGTTATTTTAAGAAAATATTTTTTTGCATGAACTACACTTGTTTGTTCCCTAGTCATAAACTACAGAATGTTAACTTGAGAGGTCCTTAAAGGAAAACTAATTTAAGTTTCTCTATTTAAAAAATTGTTTAAGTGAATGTAGATAATAATGTTGGAAATACATTTCGACACATGCATTATAAGAACAAAAATTATATCTTATTGTTACAAGTTAAAAGGCATTAATCTTTGTGTCATTTGTGTTGAAAGGATGACATCAAATGTGGCAGCAGTCAAAAATCAAAATATTGATTTGTAGAGAATATGAAATGTGGAGAAATTCATAAAATGGAAGGTACTTCAGATTGAAAAATTGATTCAGATACTAGTGCATTTGGGTTCTACATTATTTTATGAAGTTCTGGAATAAATACTGATTATTTTTACTTACTCTACACTCGATATTTAATATTGTGCTGTAATCTCCTATATTTTGTGTGTCTGGTTGTCTTATTTGGAACATTTTGTATAAAATGTAAAACTCTGTGACCAGAATGTGCAAATTTGTCTTTCAGACATTTGTTGTAAATGTATACCAAAAAATTCTTGTTAATTGTTTTCTTGCAATACTGTTTTTGCACTGTTGAATTGTTGATTGTGCTAAGATTTCATTTCTTTCCGTTTATTTCATTTTTTATCCATGTCCATGCTCTCATTAGCCTTCTCTTTCCTTTCATCACTGTCCATTTTAAATGTTATTTCATTATTCATTTATAGAAGTCCACATTTGTCTGCTGTCTATTTGCTGTAACATATAGTATGCACATTTGCCATTTAGAGATTTTGTACTTGCATGAAACAAGTGCCAGTCATTTGAAAACTCATTTATAAATGATAATTATGTAAAAGTGTGAGTTATTCTCCTCAAGACATTTTATGAAATATGGAATTTTAAATCTTTTGATCAATTTAATTTTGAAAGTTTGAAGAATAGAGTGTGATAATGTTTATTAAGCAGTCCAGTTCTGTTATGTTGCCTCTCTGTTATAAATTTGCTTGGAGGAAAACATTGGAAATGCTGATAGTAAATATTCAACTGAATGCCCTTAGTAAATGTTGGTAACATCCATGTGTCCACACTTGATGTTTGTGATTTTGAACAGAGCTCACTAGTATGTATACAGTTATAGTGCTCTTGTTTTGTAATACTTTAGATCAAAATGTGCCTTTTGTTTCACACAACATAATGTGCCTTGGATGATAGCTATTACTCAAATGTTAAATATGTCATAAATATCTTTTCTCCTAAATACAAGCTCTTCACTATTCAATCATTCTAAGTTTAACAATCCCAAAAACCTGAAATATTTGTTTTCACATGACTGGCTCTTGTGTGTTTTTGAAATTCTTAAAGGACTGTGGAAGTTGTTGAACACTTGTGAACACAACACAATGTGACCTTTCAAGTTTGCATTTCAGTAGAAGTGTATTTATAACGAGATACAGAGCAATAATGATTTCTGTATAAATATGGTGATGTAGTAGTGTAGGTTTCATAATTTATATGAACAGTGTTAATATACACAACCTTATAAAATAAATTTTGCTGAAAAACTTATTTCAAATGTTACAATTTCAAAGTATTTAGTAATATAGAATCATTTACAAACATTGGCTAAAAGCCGTGTTTATATGTTTTTGTCCTAGATGATTTTTATTTCATTTTATATTTAGAAAATTGAAATTTACATGCTTATATGTTTGAGAGACTTGTATCTTATTAATAGTGAGAATCCCATAAAGTAAGATTTCTATATATCAAACAAAGTTTGTGATGGTGCATAGGAATTATGCATCTATTCATTATTGATAGTGGTCTTGCTATTCAATTTATTCAAAATTTATATATAAAATAAACATTTTTCATCTTATTTGTTTTGTGAAACTGCAGTGTTTTAGAGTTGTAGAAGATAAGACAAATTGCTGCTTTTGAAGTAACTTAACTATAAATTGAATTGTAGTGCAATATGTACTAAGAGTGATAAGAGAGCTTTAATGTTTTAGGATTGGTGCTTCAAATTTGTTGTTCAGGTATTGTACAGGTAAAACGTGTTTTGTGTTCACTCGTATTCACTAGTATTGTAAAAACTGTAAAATTGCATTTGTATTCTTAATCACATAACCACTTTTATGTTAAATATCTCACATTCATAAAATGTAGATTTGTGAATTTATTTCTTGGTATTGCCATTAGTAAATTGATCCACACATCTTCATTGAATCAGTAGTGTATTCAGTATTTTTTTCATTCTGTAAGGTGCAAGTCTCCTTACCCAACTGATCTTGATAATTATAGTATTATCTCACAAATGCCTGCAATTTGGTTGTATCATCTGTATATTTTGAAATTCATTCATAGAAATTTATAATAGATATTTTTTTCTGTAGATATTGTCTTGTCAGTGGGTATGTGGATTTTATTTTATTGTTACATGTGAGGATATTAAATACTGTTTAAGTGTATTTGTGTAGAGATATTGAGTATATTTTATGTTTGAATTTTATTATTTGTAAATATTATTTGGTTGTTCTCAACATTTTATTATTTGTCCATTCCTTTATCATAAATTATTAATCTTCATAAATACTTTATAAAACGTGCTAGTTACTACGTAAGCTGCAAGGAACTTGAATAGTCAACAAATATTGTTGACTACATGTGTTCCTTACAACCTAAGTAATAACAATCATGTTTTTAAATCGTTAATAAATTTGTAACATTAGACTGTTTTATGAAAACATCATCCTAATGTTTTTGAACATGTAGTTCTTCATTTGGTAAATAGAGTTTTTACCTATTTATACACGTGCCACACTTTCTAAAATCAGAATTAAAAAAAAAAAAGTATACTTAAATTTGAGCTCTTGGTGCCGTAACAAGATTCCTATCTGTTGTGTGTAGATCCCCAGAATTTGCTCATTAGCTTGAAGGATTTAGTGCTTAAAAGGAAGTCATTTAGACATTGATCTAAATTAATTATTAACAAAAGCATTAATTCTTTACTTTTCTAAACTGTACGTTTGGGGCAGAATTAAGGTAAACATTTCCTTTTTATTCAACTATTGTATTTCTCAGAACTAAATGTTCAAAAACAGTTATATCACTTTTTGTTTCCTATGATAACTTTCTGGTAAAATTACAAAATAGAACTAGTGGTCTACAGCTCTTAATTTTCTTGCATTATTTGTATCAGCAGTGCAATATTATACTATTATATGAATCTGCTAAAGTGTTTCCAGCCAGAAAAAAAAGGTTTATCCTTGCCAATATTCTACCTCAGATACAAGGAATTAACTCGCCATACGCTTTACCGCTCACTACACATTACCTCGTTTGTAATCACTTTTGCCAAAGTTTAAAAAATGAATAATCTCTCCCATTCTGTTTAACTTGTGTACTTATCAAAAATTTCAAGCCAAAATTAGGTGGATACTACACATTTTTTTTAAAAAAAAGGAGTACTTGGTATCTTTTAAAGATCTAATTTTTTAGAACATTTCATTCCTGAAAAAAATATTTATCTTGAATCTTATATTTTATCCGTTCTTGAAAATAGTGTTCTCTAAAAATAGAACTGTTTTTTGATATAGATGAGAGGAAAATTCAAAGAAAAGATTTAGAGCCATTTTTGAGAAATTTTTATTGTCAGAAAAATTCTCACGAAAAGTATTCATATTTTTACTTTCTCGCATTGCAAATTCTTCATAAGAAGAGAAAGTTACATAATTATGGGACAGAAAACGTTGAAATTTTGCCAGAAAAAATGCCTATTACTGGGTTTTGTAATGAAAAAGTGGATAAATCATGTTGCCAAAATTTTTTAAAAAATCCTCTAACGTGGTGTAGCCAGAATCCAGAAAACTTTCAAGATTTCACCAAAAAAACCTTATTGCCGGGTTCTCGAAATAAAAAAGTGGATAAATTGTTGCTAAATCTAGGGAAAAATATCCTCAAACTTATGGTGTAGCCAGAATACATGTTTAGTTTGTTATTGATACCGAAAGATCTATTGATGGCAAAACGTCTGTGTGGGGTCAACTCTAGTGTCTAAACCATTCAGCTGATTTTCTCCAAACTATATATTTCCCAATCAATCTGACTGATGTCGCACCCCATGGATTTTGAAACCGATATTTTAGTTCTGTGAGGGGTGGGACTTTACATGAAGCCTCCCAGACATTTTCAAAAAAATGGCTCCAAACTTTTTGATTAAATTTTGTTGTTTAATAGTGCGAAAAACGTTTAAGATAGTGGTGCAGTAGGCAGGTCTCATATTCGGTGAATAATTTTTAAAAGTACAAAATTACCACTTTAGAAAAGGTCATGTACAATTTTTTGGAATAAAGGAATAGTTTTTGCGTAATGTGGGCATGAAATTTACAAAACAAATTCTCGAAAACCGCTCCAAATTTTTTCTTTAAATTTTCTCCACATATGTAATAAGGGATGGCAAGAAATATGATACTGGTCCCACTTTCGGGTAATGCTCTTTTTTTATTGCAAAATAAATATTTATAATTATTAAATAACTAGTGGTGCTATAGAAAGGCACAACTTTCTCGGTCTAGTTAGTTTTCTACACTTGACCATCCTTTCCGATAGAAGTCCTTGTTTTCTCGCCTATTTTCTTTCGTCGGCAGAAAAAAAATCACATTTTCTTGGTTACTCTTCTCCGTAATGCTAGAACTGAAACCACCATACACTTATTACTATCATAGAAGTAATTTTGTACGTCGTATCTGGGTAACCGCGGTAGCTCATCGGGGGATGGGGTTCGCTTTTCGAGTCTTGGTCGGAAACTATTATTTGTGACACTTCTGTGTTGCCACAGGAAATAATTGGTAATTACAGACAAATTAATTTAAATCCGTTTGAAGCCATTTTAATCGCAAGTACTATTAATTCAGATAGATAAACTGGAAGTGTCTGTACGTGTTTTTCGAACTTTCAAACAATTTTTCACATCTATTGGATTTGTAAAACGTATGAACCATCAAATCAATTGTCTTTCGGCGCTAATGACTATTATAGAAGTGCGAATACTCTGTATATTCCAGGTGGCTGAAGTGGTTAAATGTCAGGTTCGGACTCAGCGTTTTAGAGGGAAGGCCGCTGGTTCTGGCCTGGGAGTAATTATTTGTCACAACTCTGTTGTCGCAGAAAACTATTGAGAATTTCAGAAACTTTATTGAAAATCAAATTTGTTCAATTTAATTCTAAAAACGCAATGTTACTCTGTAACGTGGTCACATTTTGGATTTATTTACGACTGCGAAATATATCATCCGATCGTAATTGCGTCCAATAAGGTGACGGGATGGTGACAATTATATTTTGTTTATTGAAAATCATTTAAAGCAATTCTACTCGCATATGAATCTATTAAGATTCTAAATAAACTGGAAGTTTCTGTATGTCATTTTCGTACTTTCTAATTTTAAACAAGTTTACAACTCTCGTGTCCTATTTCTAAAATGTACTATGTCACATCAAATCAATTGTTCAATATAATTTTCAAATCAATATATTATTGCGGAGTGTCTAGAAACATTGCAAGACAATATGTGCTGTGGCAGCACCACTAGTTTATAAAATGTGCATAACCTTGTGTCAAGATCTGTCCTTCAACAGATCTCATTTAGGGAAAAATATCTATCTTCAATATTGCAGCAGTGGGAAGACGCCGGAAAAAAGTGAACTTTTGCGATTTTCGAAATATCAGGAATTTTAACGAAAATGAGACCTGCGAAATTTTTTAAGCGTTTTCTACGCAATCCGAGGACCAAGTTTAATAAAAACATTTGAGCCTTTTTTGAAAAATATTGTTGAGGCTTCATGTGAAACACTCCGAAAAATCAAGTTTCCATTTCAAACTCGCAGGATCTCAAGTTCCTTCAAATTGATGCCGGAATATCAGTTTTGGAGAAAATTGAGTTAACGGTTTAGGCGCTGGCGTTGGGCACACAGTTTTGCCGTCAATTGATTCTTCGGTATCAGGGCTCACAAACCAAACCTGGATTCTGACCACACTACGTGATAGAATTTGCTTCATGTGGGAAAGTTAGATATTACTATAGGTATGAACAAGATTTATCAATTTTTTCGGTACCTGGGCCAGGAAATAAAATGTTACTGAGGAAAAATCACTGTTTTCCGACGTACTATTACTAACTCGGAACCTTCTTACGAAGTGAGGCGAGAAAGAAAAATGAAATATCTAGGGATGGCAGAAATTACTCACGAGTTGTGCATGACCATTGTCATGCATTTAGATAATACTTTATGTATTATTGCAGATATTTTTATTAGGGCTATTTGTCACAAATGTACAGGGAGACATCACAATGACCATAATTCCAAAGTCAAAATCTCAACATATTTGAGTCTTCAGGGAGGCGTTAGTGTTGAGATATGATTTGTGGTTAGGCGGAAGAGAGGGCATGATGGCCCGAGCCTCGCCATATTAATAAAGGCATATAATAATAATAATAATAATAATAATAATAATAATAATAATAATTATTATTATTATTATTATTATTATTATTATTATTATTATTATTATTATTATGCTTTGGTGAAAAGTGAATATGAGGGATAAATAAGAATCAGTGAATACAGGAGATCCCGAGGAAACTTACCGTGAACATTGTTCGTTTGTTCATCGTAAAGTTCACTTACTTTTGCAGGGATCAAACCATAGGCCCTGCCAAGGAAGGAAAGCAATCTGACCTCAACACCATGGGCTGCCCCATAGACGTATAGTTCTACATGTTTATGGGCTGTCCATAATACAGTGTTCACAGATACTTTACGTAAAAGCAATCACTTTCTTAAAAGGATTTGTAGATCAGAAAAATTAACGCATCTATGTTATCAGTTACGTTAAAAATGAAAATAAATACAGATCAAAAACACAAACATTATAATACATAATAACTAATAATACGTAAAAATACACATAGTACTCAAAATACTAAATACAAACATTGTCGGATTTGTTTATTTCGACCAAACACAAATAATATATCAGGGACGTACTCGTGCGAAGCGTCCATGAATGTGTTGGAACGGCCGCTTCCCTTTCTGTTTGAAAGCGAAACTTTCATTTTATTTCGAAACCATACCATTTTTTGGATACCATATTTGGAAACCATAAACCGCAAGATATTTTATTTTCATTACATTTCTTCTCAAGTTGGTTTGTCTCTTAACCTCAATCAAAGATAGAAATGCAGTGGGCACGGCCGACGCATTTTTCCGCGGAAAGTGGTGCTTCGGTACGCAGTTCTAAATTCAGGACGAGGTTCGAGCCTTCAGCCCGCGCGTCAACATAAAACATCATTGAGTCTGTCCAACGCATTTTTCCGTAAACATTTTAAAAATAATTTGGCGTGTATATTTTCTTAATGTTTTTCAGGAAAGCTTTTACTTTCTTGCCTCCTATTCGCCCCACAAGGTTTTTCCTACATGTATACTTACGCGTGAATGGATCGTTTCACAAACTGCATTTCATCCTAATCAAATTTTGAAGGTCTGGGGCCTTCCTGATAGATTTTAAATTGTACCAAATCGCGCCGCAACACGTAGACGACACAATTCCATAAGCTCAGGCCAAAGTCGACTGCGGGAGCTCTTCCCGAAAACTTCCGAGCCCCGCTCGAGATGTGGATTTTGAATTACAGGCGAGCGCGGGAACATGTGTGATTCTGTATATTCTTATTGCTCTGCATATCATTGGCGGTTTGTGCCGCAGCAAACTGGAGGTTGCAGCTCCATTGAATGGCAGCAATATTTTCAAAATGCAGAATACTAATACACTGAGATGATAAAAGCCATGGGGTAGCAATATACAACAATACAGATGGCAGTAGTTTGGCAGAGCTTTCATTTCTACTCAAGTGATATATGTAAAACGTTTTCTAATGTGATTATGGCCGCACGACGGGAATTAACTGTCTGTGAACGCGGAATAGTAGTTGAAGCTAGACGCATGGAACATTCCATTTTTCAAATCGTTAGGGAATTCAATATCCTGAGTTCCACAATGTCAAGAGCGAGACGAGAATACCTCATTCCAGGCATAACGTCTCTCCACGGACAACGCAGTGGTCAACGTTCTTCTCTTAATGACCGAGAGCAGGGCGGTTCCGTAGAGTTGCCAGTGCCAACAGACAAGCAACACTGCGTGAAATAACAGCAGAAATCAAACTGAAACGTACGACGAACGTATACGTTAGAATAGTCCGGTGAAATCTGGCTTCAATGAGCAGTGGAAGAAGACCGACTCGAGTGCCTTTGCATGACATCGCCTACAGCGCCTCTCCTGGGGGTCGTGACCATAGCGATGGGACTCTAAACGAAATCCGTGGCTGGGTCAGAAGAGTCCCGATTTCAGTTGATAAGAGCTGACGGTAGAGTTCATATAATTTCCTTTTACTCCCCCAGTAGTGCACTTGTTTTCAGGGGTCTCTGTGGACTT